ACCAGAGTGACCGACATAGCCCAACGGATTAGTAAGCTGAAGTGGCAATGGGCCGGCCATATAGCTCGAAGAACCGACAACCGATGTTGAGAACCGAAGGTTCTCGAGCGGCAGCCTCGTACCAGTAGGCGAAAGGGGCGACCCCCCACTAGATGGAGTGACGATCTGGTAAGACATGCAGGCATTCTTTGGTAGAGGCCTATGTTCAGGAGTGGACTTGTGAAAGGCTGTGAATAATGATGATAGCTTGTGTATTTCGTTTGTACGTTCGTGTTCGTGATAACATGTATTTCGTTTAAAAAAAAATAGTAATAGCCTTTCTCCGGTGATGTAAGCAATGCATAATCTTGAATGTGCTCTGGTTTGTGCGAAACCCGGCGATAGCACCACGTAATAGATTTCTAGGTTATATAAAGGAATTTCGGTATTTTCTTTCGTGTAACAGCAAATCACTCCATACTCGTTTTTATCACTTTTACTACATGTACAATTATTATAATTGTATTCTTTTATAGCGATCCGCCTCGTCTTCGCGCGGGTGATTTCTGGATCTCGACAGCGGCGTCACTTACCGGCTCCAGTTGAGAATCTTAACCATTCACCCACTCAAACACACAAAAAATTCATCAGAATCGGTGCAGCCGTTTTCAAGTGGTGATCTTTCATACATGCGTCAATTGATTTTTATTTAGATAGATAAAACTTTATTGCACGACAAAAAAAATATAAATATAAGAAGACAAATAACAAAAAAAGTAGAGAAAAAAATGTGGTACAATGGACGGTCTTATCGCAAAGAGCGATCTCTTGAACAATTCTTGAACACATCTTCTATCTAAGACAACCTTTAGATGATTGATAGAATCAGGCGTTACTTTGCGGAAATCCATTATAATAAAAAATAAAAGTGTAAATTTCCTCGCAACCTTCCGCTAAATAAATACAATGAATTTTTTTTTAACTTTTTATGAACAAGATTGCAAGAAAACAGTAAAAACATATGTGTGGTTTAGCGACAATAATATTTTTTTATATACTATAAAATAGAAATAAAGATGCATAATATAGAATGGTACACAAGTACGTAGATAAGTACATACATACTTGTTAATATATATATATATATATATATATATATATATATATATAATATGTATGTATGTATATATATTGAAACTATTACATAAATAACATATATGTATATGCCATACATATAAACAAATACTGTAGCTAGATAAATATATACATATAGTATATATTTATATAGATTTTCATTGTTATTGCGAATATTACTAATAACAAAATAATGCCACTGTAGTTCAGGCGGTAGCTGAAAATCAGAACTCTTGCAATTCCTTGTGGGAAATACGATAACTGCGTCTTTCGAAAAGATCAATTAATAAAGTTTTAATACGCCTGTTTCACGTAGTTATTTTATGTTCCCTTTACCAGTACTTCGTTCCACAATCATCATCATCATCATCATCACAGCCCTTCACAAGTCCACTGCTGAACATAGGCCTCCCCCAAGTAATGCCACAAAGCACGGTCCTGAGCCACCTGCATCCATCGACTTCCTGCATATCTTACCAGGTCGTCACTCCATCTAGTGGGGGTCGCCCTACACTACGCCTACCGGTACGAGGCTGCCACTCGAGAACCTTTCTTCCCCATCGGTTATCGGTTCTTCGAGCTATATGGCCGGCCCATTGCCACTTCAGCTTACTAATCCGTTGGGCTATGTCGGTCAATCTGGTTTTACTGCGGATATCCTCATTTCTGAGTCTATCACGCAGAGAAACTCCGAGCATAGCCCTCTCCATAGCTCGCTGAGCGACCTTGAGCGTCCTCATACGGCCAGCAGTGAAGGACCACGTCTCTGATCCGTAAGTCATCACTGGCAACACGCACTGGTTGTACACTAAAGCGTTCCACAATAGCTCCAAATAAATTTTAATTGCAACTTTAAGCACTTGGTTTAGTGAAAGAAAATTTCGTGATGAAACCTATATGTGTATATTTATATGTTTTAGTTTTTTTTTAAGTGTTTCCGAATAGTTGTGTGCTCTGTAAGATATAAATAAACAGCTATATTTATTAAAAATAAAGATATACATCGATTGGACTCACCAAGATTAAAATGGAAAGGTAGTGTTTCTGCTCTAGGAGTAATGTAGGATAAGATAGAAGAAAGTGATTCAAAGGTGTTATAAAAAAGGACTCTATTAATACAGAATAAAGAGCTTTGATGAATAGCTTCACAAGGTTTAAGACGGTGTGGGATAAAAAGGATTCTATTAATACAATATAAAGAGCTTTGATAAACTAAAAAAAATAATTTCCACATAATAGCTTCTGAAGGTTTAAGACTGGATTAAAATATTAAAGGCCCGACTTCAGAAATATACGTTTTCAAATTCACTTTTACATCCTGCTTTCTAAGGGATAAGGCTGTGGCAAAAAATACCGATGCCGATCCTAAATCCCCATAGAATAAAATAATTTTTATTCAATATGTAATATGTAAGTCTTATGGAAAGTCAAGAAATAAATTTTACAATATGAATGGTTACAAACTATTTCAAAATAATATATATATATATATATATATATATATATATATATATATATATATATATATATATATACGTGGTAGAGCCATGTTGCAGTTATATTAGTAGTATAGTTGTAGCACGAATGGGTTGGCTTGACCGGGGCAGGACCTCGCTCTTACTGAATACCAGCGTAAAATTGTTTCGTATGGTGAGTGTAGAGAAACGAGGCATTTCATCTTAGTCCTCACGGGTGACAACGCATCTGCATTTTGATTTGTAATCGAGGACAGATGTAGATGTCTATGGGCCACTGCAACCACTTACCATCAGGTGGACTGTGTGCTAGCTTGTCACACTATCCCGTAAATGAAAAACATAAACTCTCATGCTTTTCACTCTTCTCTTCTCTCGCTTTTTTCACATTCAGTATAATTACAGGCTGTGAGCCATTCCATCTTAGTCTTCAGAGGTAACAACTAATCTGTAATAATTTCTTATATTTACGCGAACACTACACATTTAAATAAAACTGGTTTTTACAGATTTTATCGCGTATATTATTTTATATTACCGACGTTTCGAGCACTTTACAGCACCCATGGTCACGGGGGCTACTGAGGTGTTCGACGTCCCGATGTCATGGTTAACTGCGGTTACTCACAGATTAAAACATCGGGAATATAAAAAAAGTTAATATGCGCGATAAAATTCGTAAAAACTAGTTTTATTTAAACTAATCTATAGCATTCTTTGTATGAAGTTGGCTGCAGGTCCATACCAAGGATGATGTGATAGTAGGTGGCAGTAAGTCTATACTTCAGAAGCCATTTACCATCAGATTTACTATAAGTTCGTTCGTAACTTAAGTTTTATAAAAAAGACATCTGAATATTTACGCATATAGTTCTCGTGGTTTAAGGATACTCTTATTTTGGCCAATCTTCGATATATCTCCAATTTGGTCGACTTTTACAAATCGTAATATGTTCTAATCTGCGCTATTAGAACAGTTGGTGTTCCTAGAATGCTTAAAAGCTGCGTGCCGTCGCATTTATTTGGGTCACCGCCCACGCAAATTTAATTGTTGTTCCAATGGCGGGTTGAGCCTCATTGCGGAATGATTTATATTAAATTGGTTGGAAATTGATATATTATGTAACAGTTCTTAAGTAAAATATTATACCAAACGGTTGTTGTATACAAAACGGAAGTCAAACGGGCCACCTGATGATAGCTGGTGGCTACTGGTATTCATGGCCACCTGCGAACTTCAAATAGAGTAGGATGTGATGTCACCTCTGTGAACTAAGATGATATAGAATAAGGGTGACACACGAGCACACAGCCCACCTGATGGTAAGTGGATGCTGTGGCCCATAGACATCTACATTTATCCTCGATTAATAATCGAAACGCAGGTGCGTTATCACCCCTGAGGACTAAGATGGAATGCCTCGTTTCCAGTAAAAAGGGTCTGCGGATCTCTACACTCACCATACGAAACACAGCAGTACTTAGCTGATATTTCACGCTGGTATTCTGTGAGAACGTATCCTTCCCCGGTCGAGCTGACCCATTCGTGCTATAACTGTAATATAGCTGCAGCGTGGCTTTACCACATATAAAATGCCTCACAGCCTAGAAATAAAATGCACAGCAATACAAATGGGTTGGGTCGGGCCAATTTTCTGCTTTTCTAGACAGGTTCAGGTGTCTATGAGTGATTTACTGGTTCGAATTAATAAGTAGTTTGAATATGTAGTATTCTAAGCCCTGCCGTTGACTTTTAAACGGATTTTCACTTTCAGATCTAGTACTAACCGCTTGCTTGAGTTTGGGTACTACAGTGCCCAACGACGAACAGCGTCAAATTGAGTTTAGGTACTGTACTGCCCACACCTACCAACATAATATATTAAAAATAAAAAAAAAAGTTAAAAAATTGTTTGCGTTAATGATGAAACAAGTATATAGGCATAATGGGCATAAAGTCCTTTATCTTTTAAATAAAATAATATTTGAGACACGAGGCAGATAGATCGAAAAAATTATTTTATGTAATTTTTTTTAAATTCTTTACGTAAGGTCATTTTTGAAGTCTTGAAAATAAAAATAAATCTATATGATTAATTTGTTTTTTTTTTCGCATACCTAATGAATCCCAACTATATTTTGCATTTGTAAAAAGAAGTGGTCATCGCTTAACTTTTTAAAATATAATTTTAAAAAAAATCTCGCTAAAAATCTCTTTTGCGTATGTTCTATCAAGATTATTAAATCTAAAATGCTGCTAAATGAGAGCTATCATTATCGTTACAGCCTTTCACAAGTCCAGTGCTGCAAGACCTTTCCCAAGGAATACCACAAAGCATGGTCCTAACTCCTAATGGTGGTAATATATTAAAGCTTCATTGTATTATAATTAATACCTTTGTTTTTCTTTAGGCCAAACGCCTCAACGGCAACGGTGAGCTTGCTGCCATCAAGGTGATAAAGCTGGAGCCGGGTGATGACTTCGCCATCATCCAACAAGAGATTCTCATGATGAAGGACTGCCGACATCCCAACATCGTCGCTTACTACGGCTCCTATTTAAGACGAGACAAGCTGTGGATCAGCATGGAGTATTGCGGTGGTGGCAGCTTACAGGTTTGTGTAAAACACTCTTGTAACTTAATAGAGAAATCCTTTCCCACTTTCTTGAGTTCTAAGATCGATTCCAGTTACAACTTGAAAATTGTTCTTTCTGGCTCGATTCACTGGCGCTGCGTAAAAATGTTGAATGCTCAGAGGAATTATTCGGACTTTTCTAGTCACCAAATTCCATCATCGCACATTGCGATAAAACTCACGTTACCATTCATACCATCTGGATGCTGTGCACGATGCTTGGCGATTTACTAGAAGTTTTCATCGCACTACTTTTTTGTGGTATCGTCTACCACCGGCGATTATCCCGGATAGATGCGACTTAGGGACCTTCAAGATACGAGCTTAATCCTTTTTTAAAGGGCAGTACTGGCAATTCCCTGGTTATAGTTGTTTTTGAGCGGCGTTAGTCACTTACCATCGGATTAACCGCATGCTCGTTTGCTCCTCTTCTATAAAAAAAGTTATGGTCAATTATCAAGTAAACAATTCACGGTTAAGTTGTGATTTATTTGTCTTATATACTTAGCACAGGCTTGCTTGCACCAACTGTCTGTCTAGTAATAATAATAATATCCTCATATTGAATTTTGGTCACGGCGGCCAGACACAACGGACACTAGCCGCCCAGCCTAGACAGGACTATAGAGCACGAGTGTGTTTGCAAGCAAAGGTGCTCCCTCTATTCCCTCTCATACTCCAATGGGACAGCAATTGATTTCCATAGAGAAATCTGGCACAGCACTAACAGCTTTACGAGCTTTCCGGTGCACGAGGGTGAAACACTGCCAACTTCCTGACTCCGGCAGCTACTGAGAATTTATTGGCAGAACTCAGTAGCTGATTTTGTCTCTTGGACTCGAGATTCAAACAGGATCAGCAGTCGCACTTATGATTGGACCAACGAGTCTTTAGAATTTTGCAGTTGTGTAGTGCAGTTGAAAGCATACGGCAGTATTCGTGTGTTCGTCGCATTCGAATTTAGTCAAGACTTTTTTATCATTATATTTGTATTAAACAATACACTTTATTATGTCTACACTCTATCTGCTCTACACTCTTTTATAAAGAATCAGAATGTGTCAAAAAAGACACGTATAATAATTCATAATGCTGTGTTAATCCCTACTTTAATGCATGGTAGTGAAAGTTGGGTGTGGCAGAAGAAGCACGAAAGTAGTATAAATTTTGTAGAAATGCGGTCTTTAAAGAGTATGCTGGGTTTGAATCTGAATCACAGGGTGAGAAATCGTGGTAAGAGAAAGATGTTGTGACCAAAATTAAGAAAGGAATGCTTCGGTGGTTTGGTCATGTAGAAAGAATGAATGAGGAAAGAGTGACAAAGCAAATTTATATGGCAGATGTGAACGGCAGAGTTGGGAAGGGACGCCCTAGACGAAAGTTTATCGACTAAATTGGCGATATCTTGAAAATGGGCCACATTAGGAGTACCCTTAACCGACGAGCGTGTATGCGTAGATATAGGATGTAAAGGAGGCGAGGGAGGTGTGTCAGGATCGTGCCAAATGGAAGTCCGCAGTCTCTACCTACCCCTCTGGGTGACAGGCGTGAACGTTTATGTATATGTATATTATGTTTTGTATTAAAGTTTAATTTGTATATTTCAGGACATTTATCACGTGACTGGTCCACTGACGGAGTTGCAGATCGCCTACATGTGCCGTGAGACACTCACCGGCCTCTCGTACCTTCACAGTATGGGCAAGATGCATAGGTAAGCAAGCACCTTTCTCACGGAGTTCAAGAAACGAGAACGTTTTAATCGTTTTTTGAATTAAAGTTTTTATTTTGGGAAGGTTTTTATATGTGGTAGAGCCACGCTACAGCTATATTATGGTTGTAATGGTTGTAGAGCGAATGGTTATGTTCCGGGGGTAGGACCACACTCTCACAGAAAACCATCGTGAAATAGCAGCTTAATGTTGCTGTATTTCGTATAGTGAGTGTAGAGAACCGGATACTCTTTTTCTTGAAAACGAGGCATTCTGTACTTAGTCCTCAGGGGTGATAACGCATCTGCATTTTGATTATTAGTTGAGGATAAATGTAGATGTCTATGGGCCATAGCATCCACTTACCATCAGGTGAACTGTGTGCTCGATTGTCACCCTTATTCTATAAAAAAAAACATTCAACTTTGTGTGTAGTAAGCTAGCGAACGCGTCACGAAAGCGTTTCGGGAGAATAATAACAAATTATGGAAGGAAGCCGCTAATAAATTTAAATATTTGTGGAAAATTAATATATGTATATACATGTATATATTATGCATATATATATATATATATATATATATTATATATATATATATATATATATATATATATATGCATACTCGTTTTTTTCTCTTCACCAGCACGTAAAAGTACACTGCTGGCTGCCCCTCCCGTTTTAGGCATGCCATTTAACGTTTACCGTAAACGGCATACCGTAATATTTCAGAAACCCCAACATTCATTTGGTATTTTGCAAAGACGAAATAGGATGATGTTTCCGCTTTCGCCGCCACGACAAGTCGTCCTTTTTACCTAACCATTAAATCGACAACCTAGCTAGCAGTTCACCTGATGGTCAGTGGTATCTTCCTTCACTAAATGTTTTCTTGGTTCCCGTTTCTTAAAGTTGACCCTCTTCTTTTTCCTGCTCTTAACCCAAGTTATTTGAGGTCGGCATAGCATGTCTTCCTCTACCATTCTCCTCTATAAGCCGTCATCTCTTACTCCTTCTTAAGCCTAATCTTATATCCATCCACTTTCATAGCAAACATTATTTCTTTGTGTTGTCCCTAATATATTTTAATTAGGCGAACCAGAATATGAAAATCTATCCAACTACTGAGAGTTGTAAGCCAGGATAAGGTTATAATCCAGAAACTCTTCACTGGTGCATTTGAAGACGTTTTCACATGGATTACCTCAACCTTTTTTACTTTGTACTAGAGGAATGGCCCTAATGGACTAGACTAAAACATCGATTGAGACTCACAGAATGACTGAAACAAGCTAGTCCTTTGAGCAGAACATTATAATATTTGTTTCAGGGACATAAAAGGTGCTAACATTTTACTCACGGAGTGCGGCGACGTGAAGCTGGCGGATTTTGGGGTGTCGGCACAGATAACGGCGACCATCAATAAAAGGAAGTCGTTCATCGGGACGCCGTATTGGATGGCACCTGAGGTTTGCAGTTTTTTTTTAAATAGATTAAGGGTGACAAACAAGCGCACAGATCATCTGATGGTAAATGGATGCTGTGGCTCAGACATCTACATCTATCTTCGATTAAAAATCAAAATGCAGTTGCGTTGTCAACCCTGAGGTCTAAAATTTTTTTTTATAGGAGAGGGGGCAAACGAGCATGCGGCTCACCTGATGTTAAGTGACTACCGCCGCCCATGATCAACCGCAACACCAGGGGAATTGCAGGTGCGTTGCCGGCCCTTTAGGAAGGAGTAAGCTCTTTTAGTGAAGGTCCCCAGGTCGTATCGGTGCGGAAAAATTGCCGGTGGTAAACTATTTCACAGAGAGGTTGTACGCGGAAGAAAACTCTTAGTGAAGCGTACAGTGGTGGACCGCCAAGCATCCAGATCATGTGGATGGTATCGGGAGGTTTGCCGCGTAATTCTTCTAAATTCTTCTGTAAAACTTCATAAAATTTAGCTACTGGGATTAATCCGAACAATTCATCAGAGCACTCCCCCCGAGATAGATGAGAAAGAAAATGCAAAGAGATGCAACATCTCTTCGCAGCGCCAATGAATCGAGCCGATCGGAAAGCATTCGGTCATCGACGATTTCAGCCGCTCTGCGCTGGATGCGGTCAAGTAGAAGGAGCTGTCACTGGGGAGCCCCAGCACAGAGATACGAACAGTAATCCATATGGGGGCAAACCTTGTAAATTTGCAGGCGGTGTGCCGGCATGAAAGACTGTCCCACTCTGCTGAGCATACCAAGCTTTTTAGAAGACAATTTGGTCTTCTCTTCCAAGTGACCACGAAACTGCACGTCACTCGATATGTCGAGGCCGAGGATTCCTATACTGACTGAGGCAACAAGGGCCTTGAAACTGATGAGATACGAGAAAGGGGTTCTTTTTAGCGGTTAACGCGCAAACTTTTGTCTTCTTTAGGGTTAAACTGGACTAGATTTAGTCGCCCCCAATTCGAGACATTGTTCATCAAAGACTCGACTTCAGACACAAGTTTGTCCCGGTACTCGGAGACGTTTTTCCGAGAAATATTGGCACGGCCGGTGTACATCACCAGTGCTGTCATCCGCATAGCAATGAATGTTACCTGTTTGCAACATATCATTGATATGCAGAAGAAGCAGCGTTGGTGATAGCACGCAGCCTTGTGGAACGCCAGCATTAATAGGCTTGTAATCGGAGCTTGCACCGTCTACAACGACCTTAATGCTCCGATCTGCAAAAAAGCTGGTGATCCAATTGCACAATTTCTCGGGGAGCCCATAGGAAGGGAGCTTCGAAAGAAGCGCTTTGTGCCAAACCCGATCAAAGGCCTTCGCAATGTCCAAACTAACGGCCAATGCCTCCCCTTGGACTCTACTGCCTCCGCCCATCGGTGAGTCAGGTAGACCAGAAGATCACCAGCTGATCGACCCCGACGAAAATCGTATTGGCGGTCACTAATCAGCTGATGATCAAGAGATCGAGAGAGTCTAAGAGATCGGCTATCTCCTTTGCGGAATGGGCCAGTGAGTCGAACTCCCTGTGCAGAGATAGAAGAGATGGCTGACGGAAATTCTCTTGGAGAGCCTTGGCGAGAGAGCAGAATGCACGGGTTCCAGAAGGAAGGCTAATTAGTTTCTCAGCATGTGCTCTGACTTTGCCTTGTCAATGACTCTTTTGAAGGACCTGGAGGCGGAATTATACTTTTTTTTTTAGGGCGCTAGCGTTTACATACCGTGACATTGATGCGTCAGCCCAGGCCCGGTAGCACTCCTGCTTATAGCGTGGTGCTAATTTACAGGAGCGACTAAACCATGACTGAGATCCGCCTCCGATGGGAACCACAGAGGAAGGAATAAAAAGTTCCATACCATGAAGTAACACATCAACGACAGAATCAGCAATGTTGGGTTCGTCCGGGGAGAAGCAAACCAAGGGTAGGGTAGGATGCAAAGAAAGACCGCATCCTATCCCAATCCGCGTACCTATAGTGCCAAACACGGCGGCAGCCTGCAGAATGCAACCGCGATTTCAGCGTGAGTGAGTCACACTCCGGACAAAACAGTGATCCGAGGAGCAACAGGGGCATCGACGGAGACCTGATATCTGTCCGTATGAGAGGTCAGCAGAAGGTCCAACATGGAAGGTACATGATCCTCCACATCTGGAATCCGCGTAGGCGAAATAACCAGTTGTGTCAGACCATATGCCAAGGCAAAATCATGAACAGATCTCCCCGCATGAGTTAAACGTGAACCAAGCCATTCCGCGTGGTGGGCGTTAAAATCGCCGAGGATCACGATCTCTGCGGAGGGGATCTGCTGCAGCAACGAAGCTGCGGCCTTTTGGACGTGCTCGAAGAGTCGGTCTGTTTGGGCATTACCGCTATGGGACCTATAAAGGCACTCGTAGACGCGTAGATGGTCGTCGCTGTCTACGCGTAGCCAAAGGATGGACAGGTCCGAACCTTCAAGACTGCCGAGGCGTCGAGAACAGACGTCCTCTCGTATACGCATACTCCAGCCCGAGGCACAAAGGAGTGTTCCAGTTTGTACCCCGGTTAGGAGAGATACGAAGCATCAGCCGGAGAGGACACTTGCGTCTCGGTCAGAAAGAGCAGAGCCGGCTTCGCCGTCTCGAGATGATAGTGGACGGGGCTTATGTTCGAGTGAAGTCCTCTGGTATTGCGCCATGTTGAATGGGGGGGGGGAACTTGGGCCTCCGGCCACCTGCACTCACCAGGCGAAACGCGGAAGCTGAACTTTCACTTCACGTCGGTATTCTGTGAGGTCGTGGTACCACCCCGCTTTGAGCCGCCCCATACGTGCAACAGCAAAGCTGCCGCGTGGCTCTACCACTGTAAGAGGATGGACTGGAGAAGGAACTGTAGATGGAATGCCTCATCTCGCGTCGAGCCGCTGTTTTCCGCTGGTATTCTGTGAGAGCATGATCCTTCCCCCGGTCGAGCCGACCCATTCCTGCTACAACCAAAATATATCTGCAGCGTGGCTCTACCAAGTATATAATCTATAAGAGAATAAACTTGTTAGTAACTAGTGTGGCCGTGGTAGGAAAAGGGGAGATCTCTCGCCGGGCAAGGTGTTCTGCCCGGGGAGCGGCCAACCCTCCGTGTGCTAGTTCGGAGATGTTCTATATATACTGTTTATGATTCGGAATGTTGATAGCGTGATTTAGGCTTCGGTGTATTTCGCTTGTGGCGCGACGACAGCGCCGCTACACTAGTAAGTGGAAAAATTTACAACAGTATTAAAAATCAAAAATATCACGTTTTCTTGTAACGTTTCACTGCCGAGGTTGCATGAGTATACTATTACTTAACCTACTTATGTAAAATATAAAATAAACGAAGAATGATATATCGTAAAGAAGTTTCACTTACGGTGTACAAAATTACATGCACAATTTTTATTTTAGGTAGCAGCAGTGGAGAGGAAGGGTGGTTACAACCAGCTGTGTGATATCTGGGCCTGCGGAATAACTGCTATTGGTAAGATTCTTTTCTATTTATTAATTTGTATGTATTTTTACGATGTTAGTGTGTGTGTAAATTACAATTTTAATTACTGATTTAGAATGAAGAAAAACATCGTGAGGAAACTGGCATGTCTGAGAAATGAAAAAATAATATTTCGAAGACGTGAAATTCGCCAACACGGACACTTCCTTGCTCTAAAACCCTCTCAAAAATGAGAGGAGCCCTGTGCCCAGTAGTGGGATGATTACACTGACTGTGTGACTGTGTTGATTAACCTTTGTACTTTTACAGAACTGGCAGAACTCCAGCCGCCGATGTTCGAATTGCACCCCATGAGGGTGCTGTTCCTCATGACAAAATCCGGGTTCAAACCTCCTCAACTGAAAGAGAGAGAGCGCTGGTCCCAGGTTTTCCATTCCTTTCTGAAGTTGGCACTCACGAAGAACCCCAAGAAAAGGCCCACTGCTGATAAATTGCTACAGGTAGTTAAGTAAATAGAAAATAATTGTATTTTTGTATATTAAGGAATGCAAAAAGAATAAATAAATAAATAAAAATAAATAGTTAATAAATTAAATGTTAATTGTATAGATACAATTCGCAACGTTACGTACTTTTAAACTTGATTGGGGATACATGCAGTAAAATCGGAATAAACACAAAAAAAAAACATTTCTTTGTGTAAAAAGGTTGTCTGGAACAAATCGCTACCAGAGCAATAAGGTTGCCTATTGTACTCTGTATTTGTTTATAATATATTTCATTTTGTTTTTTACCGACTTCAAAAAGGAGGATGCATTCAATTGGACTGTATGTTTTTTATGTGTGTTACCTCAGAACTTTTCTCTGGGTGAACCGATTTTGATGAATCAATTTTTAATCAGAAAGCTGATGCTTCTTGTGTGGTCCCATATAAATTAAATTAAAATTTGACCAGTAATTTTTTAATAATCTTTAATAATGCGTATTCAATTGACTTCCAATACATTGATGATGTTCTCATTGTAATTATAATGATTTATCAAAATTTTTAATTTTACCACTTATGATTGAATGTGTATTGGTGTACTAAAAGAATATATTGATTGATTGATTTAAATTTTTGATGTCAACAGCACGCTTTCTTCCAACAAGATATGAACAAGCGCTTAGCGATAGAACTTCTGCAAAAGTACTCCAACCCACCCAGCCACTGCGGCAGTCAGGAGTTAGATGAAGACGGGGTGAGTTACCTTGCGCGTATCTTCATAAAATAGCGAGAGTTGAGAATAAGGATTGCAAATCGAAAGGTAGTGTGTTATCATCACCATTCTCATCATCAGCACGGGCTGATGGTGAAAGACAGATCTATGTCCACTGCTGGACTTAGGGTTGTCTTATCGTAGGAAGAATTTGCCTTAATCGTTACTCTTGACGACTGAAGTTGAGCATACAGTTGACCAGACATGAGCACCTTTAAACTGCTTCTCCTGATTATTTGTTGACAATGTTTTAAAATTATTTGGCTACAATCTACTAACATTAAATGTGGTAGAGCCACGCTGCAGTTATATTATGGTTGTGGCACGAATGGGTTTGCTCGACCGGGGTAGGCCCTCGCTTTCACAAAATACCAGTTTAAAATAGCAGCATAATGCTGCTGTGTTTCGTATGGTGAGTATAGGGATCTGGAGAACCTTTTTTTTTACTGGAAATGAAGCATTCCATCTTAGTCCTCAGGGGTGATAACCCATCTATATTTTAATTCTTAATCGAGAATACATGTAAATGTCATGTTACAGGCCATAGCATCCACTTACCATGAGGTGGACTGTGCGCTCATTTGACACCCTTATTCTATTAGAAAAAATCAACTCCGCCACCAATGACGCTCCACTAAAGTGACACAACTTCTCACTCACTCTCGATTTAACCGGTATTTTATAGACGCGCCGTCGTATTCTTTACACATATTAGATATAATAAATGTGGTAACAACATTCCAGGCGTTATCGAACGTCCCGCAACGCATCGCGTCTAAGCACACGGGTCGTGGCCGACGTCTCCTGGAGCCGGTCGTGTCGGTGTCGTCGCGTCCCCGCAGCCTGGCCGAGAGGGCTCCTCTCAAGGCGCTCAAACCAAACCTGTGCCGGCCCGCTTCACTGCTCGACGACACGACACCGACACGACTGGGCGACGCGACGGACGCGCGACGACTGTACGACGACTCGCCGGTCATCGACCTGGACGCGGACGACGAGCTGGGCTTGCGCGTGATCAACTTCAGTGCGGATGTGAGCAGGAGCTGCGACGGCGATACCGTCAAACGGAACCGTGAGTTGAATTGTGTGGTGATAACGACTAAAAATCTTCCATTTACCAAATGTCGCCAGGTCGCTAGTCAGGGCTGAGGTGAAGTTATTTGTTACACTGTGGCGGCGCTGTCGTCGCGCCACAAGCGAAACACATCGAAGCCTAAATCGCGCTATCAAAGTTCCGAATGAAGCACAGTATATATAGAATAGCTCCAAACTATCAAACGGAGCGTTGGCCGCTCGGCGGGAGATCTCCCCTTTTCCTTAAACGGCCACAACGCTATTTGAGAAATGCGTTTTAAATAATAGTTCAATGGTTTCTAGAGTATCTGAATACACGAAACAACGCCTCAGTTGTTTGCTCTCTAATGTTTTATACATTATTATACCTTTTTTAACTGCCTCGTTGGTCTAGTGGTACCTCTTTAGGGAAGTCTTCATTTACGTATATACCTGATGGAAGCTTAGACTTATTTTTCAGTATTATGTGTTTTTTCCATAATGATGTGATGGAGACAACGACTGGGCGGTTTTTATTATTCGTCCTCTGCCCGATCCTGTAAATGTTGTTAATTTCATGGCTATCTAGATATGTTCCTGTCTCTATAGATAAGGAAATCATATTCCTTGATGTAATCTACTAGTTCGATTTCTGTTTTTCCTATTTCTTCAACTCCAAAAAAGACTAAGTTATTCTTACGTTTCTCTTTTTCTATGCCATTAAGTTTTCGTTCCAGTTCTGATATTTTTGTTTTAAGGTTGTTATTTTCTATCATTATTGATTTCATTTTTTCGTCTAATGCTTCCATTACATTTTTCGTCACTGCAGTTGTTATGATTAAAGTTTGTTGATTTAACTTCTCTTCCAGTTTTGACAGTAACAAATTCATAATTTTTTCCATTTGGTTGATAATTTTACTTTTGTTATGGCTACACTTACTGGTTAACTGGTTAATGGTAGTTTCTAGTACTAGTTCATATATATATACTCTGTGGTCGCTGTTGGTTGTGTTGGTATAACTGCTTCAGTTCAGCTCTATAGTTTATGACTATGATGATGAATAACACTTTTAGGTTATATTGCAAAATGATATTTGCAGTCTTTTTTCACGAAATGTATATATTTCACTGTTTTCACTTCTTTTACTTATTTCGAAGTTTTTATTTTGATAAGATTATGTCGAGACATCTTTGATTTAACACTATTTGCACTGTTATTAAATATTAATCACGGAGGCCTATAACGCACGTCTTTACGATACTTTTACCGGAACCGGAATCCTAAAATCTCTTTAAATTACAAGAAATATGTATGCAGAAGCAGACGTTGATAATTTACCGTATTTATAATACAATTATCATTATGACCTTCAGAATTCCACCGACAAACAAGCGAAGACTGGAGTGTAGCGTCTTTAATGAGTTGTCCAAAACACAACCCTCTATCTCAGGACCTTCAAGATCTCACCACCGACATTTTGCCAACGAGCGAAAAGTAAGTAACATCCCCGTTTTTATTATCTGTCGCTTTTTATATATATTTTTTATTTATTTTTTCTATATATTTTTTTTAAATTATTTATTTTATAGCAAGTGGTGTCGGGTGATCACGGGTGATGATATTATGAGAATGAGTCTGAGGTATTTTTTGATTAAATAATTATTCTTCGATTTTTGTTAATATTCATTATTTTTTTGTTAACATTGAATTTGGTTTGCGGTTTTCTTTCGATTTCTAACACAGATCATAATGAGGGTACTTTGTCTATTTGTACGTTTCGTTTTCGTGTGGCAGTTGTGAGCAATTTTTTTTAACTTTGTTCCATGTATAAATTTTCAACTTTTTGACCTCTACGGAAATTATTGCAAGTCTGTTTTCTGAATTCCAAACAAATAAAAATATTTTTCTATGCACGTATTATTTATATATATTTTTTAATTTATAAATAATTAAAAAGTACCTACATAGTTATTCAAACATTTTAAAAAATGGTGGCTTCAGTAAATAGATAACATGTTTTATTATTAGTCTCGCGTTTTGAATTATGGTTTAAAGTTTCCCTTCCCTTTGATAAAGAAGTACTTGCGAGAAGTCTTCGCGAAATTTTACATTTGATGCCAAATTCCATACTTTACATTTTAGTTCGTATATTTTACAAGGAAATTCTTTGATTTCTTTCTTAAAACAGACTATAGTTTATTCCTGAGACGAATTATAAACTACTTTTTGTAATAAGACGGTATCAGATTAAATACACTTTTTGTGAAAATTTCATATTGTCCCTTTTTCGTTGGCTGCTAATGTATATGACATTTCTAACACTTATTTTATTTTTATAAAAGGTTATTTTTCAAAGAGTAGCCAAATTTTACATTGAAGTTCAAATGAATAAATTATTATATACCGATATTAATTTTTGAAAATACGAGTATATAGGGCTTCTACTTTTATTTGAAATTATCCCAAATTGAATTTGATTTATGTGCAACAACTACTCTTACGCGCTCTCCTGTGTGTGTGATTCAATTCACGCTTTCGTTTCTCAAGTATTTGCCTACTATGTACTTTCTTAATGACACGCTTACTACTTATGCTTAAGATTATTATCTTACTACATATTACGAATTATGATTCCAGTTTTTCTTTTAGACTTTTAACTTGCTTAGGATCGTCGTAATATATAAAATTAAAAAAATATTTTTGCTTATCAACGATGTAACCGGTGACTGGCCTTATTATAGCGTATTTAAAAATTGGATAAACTACGTACAATTAAATTACGCAAGTACAGCTGATCCGCGGTAATCTGACAAACGTTTTGCAAGGCGGTGTCAGAGTATCGAATTTGTCGGACTATAGAGTATTGCCACAGCCCTGTGGTACTCCAACTTTTTTAAAAAAAGAGTGTCTTGTAATCCAACAGATTAATTATCAAATATAAAATAATAAAAAATAGAAATGTCATGTGATGTACAATAAATACCTAAACAGTAAATAATGAATGCCCGCTAGTCCGCTACCGTAGCCACATTTAAACTGAGATAATACACGTCAAGTTAGATTCGTGTGGCGCGAACTAATTGCAACCCATTTGTTTAACGCATTCGCGAAGGACACCTCTTGTCGTAGCGAGTTCATAGGATGACTTGAATTTACCTACAAGTTAAAGACATGTCGGATTACAAGGGGGGGACGGATTAATCAGGGGCCGGATTACCAGGTGTCCACTGAAGTCCCAATAACTAATATTGGTACCTCAAAATAGAATCAGACGGCGTCGGACGATAGTATCGACTGGCGAGACGAGAAAAACCAAACTGGTTGCTTCTACGCCGGGGGTTTCCGAAGGTTTCCGAAAGGTCAACGGGGTCAACGGGCCACATTCTTTATGCATAGACGAGCACGTTTTGTTAAAATATTTTTTACACTTATTACCTGTTCTTCAGCACTTTTAACTTCCGTGAACGTAGCAATCATTTTACTGTAGTGTTCGTCATAGCTTTGGTCCTCTTTGACGTAAACACGACTTTTTATACACAGATAAAAGACTAACGCTCACTGCACTTGAATAGCTTGATTCGATTGTTAGGTTGATTACGACATATATACATACATAAGCACTTACGCCTGTCATCCAGAGGGGTAGGCAGAGACTACAGACTTCCATTTGGCACGATCCTGACACACCTCTCACGCCTCCTCCACATCCATATACCTAAGCATACATGCTCGTCAGTTAAAGGTACTCTTAATTTGGCCCCTTTTCAGTGGCTTGCCAATTTGGTCGACAAACTTTCACCTAGGGCGTCCCTTACCGACTCTGCTGTTTACTTCTGCAACATAAATTAAAGAGTAACAAAGCATTGTTACTCTTTCCTCCCTGTCTGACACCTTTATGGATGCCAAATCAGTCTGAGTAGACCCTGTTGATCCTAATACAAGCACTGGAGTCCCTATAAAGAGACTTCAATGCCTGTATCAACCCAGCGCTCAACCCAAATGAGTTCAGTGTTTGCCATAACAAATTCCTGTCCACTCTGTCCTAAGCTTGTTCCAAGTCCATGAACGCATAAAAAACTTTTTGGTTTTTGGCCAAAAACTTCTCCGCGAACTGCGGTAAAAACTCACTTTAGTGTCTTTGTATGTACCACGTAACCTTTTATCGCTTAATCCTTCACGCGCAATAAAAATCCCATGCAGTCGCATGCGCCCAGCAAATCCCGAGCGGTCGCGACCGCACCCACCCACAGCACTTGAAACCATTAAAACTTATATTTAGAGACTACTTTTCTATGAAGAATTTTAGTATTATAAAATCTATACAAAATTCTCTATCCTTGGTCTAATCAAAAGTCAGGTTTTACTTCATTACAAAAAGATTTTTTTGTATTTTGATAACAAAAAAAAAACATACCAAGCGAATGTCGGCAGCGTGAAAATCACAATTATTTCAATATATATTACTCGAAATTATTTATGTAAAACGATAAATTATATTCACACAAAAACTTTGATTACATTTTTATAATAAAACACTGTACTAAAACACTAATAACTAGAAAAATCCAAAAATCAACACAATAACATTCACGCGAAAATGGCGTACGAAATGAAAGTAGATTATAAATAAATATTCATAAGATAACAGTTTTTTTATTGCACTAGAGGATAGAGTATTTCATATTGATTATATAATGCCAAACTTCTTCATAGAAAAGTAGTCTCTATATATGTTTTTATGGGTTAAAGTGCTGTGGGTGGGTGCGACCTCATGAGACCGCTAGGGATTTGACGGAATATGGGCGCGGTCTCATAAGACCGCTAGGGAGTTGAGAGGTTAAAATGTATAATACTCACACGTAATATCACCATTTCACAGTTTCATAGTATCCGCAGTTCGAATATTTTCTTTATGTCATTGGCAATGAAGCCTTGGTAATGAGGTCACGGTCAACACTGTCAGCTGTCTGTCGGGCGAGCAGGCATAGGTACTTACGGTGTAACCATGGAGGTTAGAGAACAGGAGAACGATCGCTAAGTACTAAAGCATAGCTCGCCTGTCCTTGAAAATTTGTTGAATTTTTAGCGGCGTTGACGTGACGGTAAGTAGTGACTGCGAAGTTGGCTGTTTATGAGTACAAGTAGGTGAAATTAGTTGAATAATGTACAAATTTTATTCGCGGCATTGGTGAAATAATTTTCATGCTCCGTAATTTTGTAATTTTTGACAAAAAGAAACATTAAAAAATGGAGAAATATTTTATTATGCGTGGATGTGCAAGTGGTTTACCATCTGATCGGACAAATAGACTGAAAATGACTTTTATTGAGCGAACTTAGCTATCGCAGCGCATCACTTGTGGTGTCCATATTTCTGGGACACTATTTTCTACGGCGATTGTTCTCCTGTTTTCTAACCTCCATGGGTGTGACATTGAAGGTTAAAGAACAGGAGAACGATCACTACGTACTAAAGCATAGCCCGCCTGTCCTTGAAAATTGTAGAATGCATAGCGGCGCTGACGTCGGTGAGTTATAAATGCGAAGTTAGTTGTTTATGAGTACAAGTAGATGAAGTTAGTTGAATAATGTACAAATTTTCATTTCATTTTTAATGATAAAATTTTCATGCTCCGTAATTTTGTAATTTTTGACAAAAAGAAACATTAAAAAATGGAGAAATATTTTATTGTGCGTGGATGTGCAAGTGGTTTAGCATCTGATCGGAAAAATAGACTGAAAATGACTTTTATTGAGACAACTTAGCAATCGCAGCGCCTCACTTATGGTGTCCATATTTCTTAAACACAATTTTCTACGGCGATCTTTTTCCTGTTCTCTAACCTCCATGGGTGTGACGGTAGCAGGGTGCGGGAAGATGCGCAAGAAGGTACTTTACTGAGCGTAGGGGTTTACGAATATGTGCTTGTGAACTAAAATCAGTTAAAACAATGCATTACTACGTATTTGAAATTTAAAAGATAAACTTGACAGAATGTTTGAGATTTTTTTTAATTAATTTTGTTTCACCCTCTGCCTATATTACTTATTCTGAACATTCTCTACAAATTTGGCTGTTAATTGCAAAATAATCCTGTATAATAGTAATAATAATTAATTTATTGAAGATCTATCTCTTAGGACAGGAGGCCTATGCCCAGTAGTGGAGTATATAAGCTGTAACTTTACTTTTATTGCACACATTACAGATTAAATTAAATAAAAATGTCAGAGCATAGAATAGTAAATTGTAAAAGAAATCTAAAATAATACGAATAAATTAAAATTAAAAAGTTTCTAATTATGTTAAATCCAATCAAATCGAATTAAATGAAATCAAATTCAAATTATATTACATTATGTAAGTCAGTTATTAAAGAAAAAACTATAAATTTGAAATAAATTAAATCAAATTGTACAAAATCTAATTAAATCAAACTTAATCAACTAATAAGCATAAAATAATGTAACCTAAGAAAATATAATTTAGTATCGAGAATTCTACTGGTTAGTACTTTTAGCGGACCCTGAGTACCAATTTTCCAGTTCCTCTCGAAGTAACGAGAGAAAACTGGCACTTAAGAAGGTTTTTTTTAAATTATTGACTTCCTGGTTCCATTATATTATGAATGTAACACTAACAATAATTTCGTGCTGTGAAACTAACAACCATGGTTTTTGGGGCATATTCGAATAATAAAATCTCAGTGAAGGATCGATTAGGGTCTCTATTTATAGCTGTAAAAGTATATCGACTTTTTGCATGTTTTAACTCTACGAGTATAATCGATACGGGCGTATACTTCTGTGAATGTTTCTATAGAAAATGACCCCCGCACCATTGGATTAAGTATAGAAAATTGCGGCTTGTTTAGTTCCTTATGGTCTTACGGCCGTTAAATTTTTTTTATAGCCTTATGTTTTAACATTCAATGAATTACATAGTTGTCGTTTTGAACGGAACAGTCGACATTTTCTTTAATAATAAATAATTTATTACTTTGCAACCTTCCGCTCACTAAGCTAACTAGTTAGCGGAAGGTTGCAAAGTAATAAATTATTTATTATAATGGATTTCCGCAAAGTAACGCCTGATTCTATCAATTATGACTTTTTCTTTGTTTAAAAATTACAATTTAACTGAAAGTCAAAGACTACTTCAAAGTGAATAAAAGAATAAAGCCCTGACTTTAGAACGTGGAATTATTTTATTCATTTTAGTTCTTTGGCTTTCACATTTTGTCAATTATATTTTCTACCCATTTGAGTGGACTAAAGAATATCACAATTTTAACATTGTCTAAATAGATACGTTAAAATCTTCGTCCCCTATTTTGCCAGCCTTAACAGTCAAATAAATTATAATGGCCATTTAGGCCACCCCTGAAACCTATTTAAAAAAATCTAAATCAGTTTAAAATTCGCATAACTAATCGCATAACCTTATCATACATACAAAAGAAAACATACAGTCATACTGTAAGTTTATGAAGTCGGCTGAAAGTCAGAATTTGTTAATGATTTATTTGATAAATGTTTTTGAGACTTGCAATAATTCCGAGGGTATTCGAATAGTGTTTGGCGATGTTCTTGCGTGTCAAGAGAATGCACATTTGATCTTAGCCATAGATCACGCCGGAAGTGTCTGTTACTTGCATGGATAGCTTTAAGTGGCGTCGACTTGGCTTAGTAAAGACGCAACCCATACACATTGAAGGACATACACCAAAGAAATGCAACAGTAAAGAGCGGAACTAAAAGTTAAGATTTATTTTTAAAAACACATCTCGACATTATTGCAAGGTGTAGTTTAGGGTGATCCCCGACCTCAAAACGTAATAAATGGGACCACCAAAATATACTATAAAATGTTACTCGACTATACTTTGGGCATATTTAGGTTATCAGAGGGATTCTTTAGGCCGTAAATAGGCCGACTGCTAGACATTCACCACGCCTAAAAAAGAAGTTCTTTAAAAAAATAGAAGTAAGAGTGACAAACAAGCATACAGCCTATTAGTAAGTGAAGGCTATGGCCCATAGACACCTACATCTACCCTCGGTTAAGAATTGAAATGTAGTTACAATGACGCCCTAAGGATGGCCTCGGTACGAAGTAAAAAATGGTTTTAAGTCATAGAAGGTGAAAAGTTTTTGAGATGTATATGTTTTAATAAATAAAAAGGAATAGGAAAGCAGGTCGCACAGCCTAATAACATAATACACACATAACATGATTCACACTCGGTGATGAAGGAAGACATCGCGAGGAAATCTGCATGTCCGGGAAATATATGAAAAAATAGTTTAAAGACATGTAAAATCCGCTAATACGTACTAAAGTCGCTTAAATGTATTAAAATACGTATTAAAGCCTCAAAAAATGAGGAGTTATTTGCCAAGCAGTTGGATGTTTATATGCTCTTGGTTTATGTATGAATAATATAGACAATAGATGTGTCTCAAATATATTCAGTTTATGTTTAAATCTCTTTAGCGAATCTTTAGATTACCAATTTTAGATAAACAGGATGCTATTTTATACTGTACCCCACCCTTTTAAATACATATATATTTTTCTTCAATTGAATGTTTTTATAGTGTTTTTTTTTATTTATAATGCATTATTACTACAGTCACTGTCAACACAGTAATATTTACGTCAATTTTTGACATGTGTCATTCATGTCAAAAATTTGGCTCTAATATTCATGTCAACAAGGTAAGGTTGCAAAATGGCGTGACGGAATGATTATGGGCTAAGCTTTAGTATACTTTTGTCTGTCTATCGTTTCATTGCACTAAGACCATGGCCTAAAGTTGTATAATGAAAGTTTCTTTTTAAATGACTTTTTACTTAATATAATAATATTGTATAATACTCTCGGGTCAAGGAGGAAAGAAAAACGGAAAGCTAAATTTCAATTGACCCAAAAACCAAATAAATACCATGCTCAACTAATAGTAATAACGCGAACTATTGCACGAATATGTATCTAAAATATTTTGTAAATAACAACATGGTTTTACATATGTGCGCGCCCAGCAGTAATCTTTTACGGGCTGTTAGAGATAGAAAGAAGGAAGAAAGATATAGAAGTTGAGCAAGGTTATAGCATCGTTTGATATGTGCGCTTCGTCTATTCTTTGTTGATATGAGATAATCGTACATAATATTTGCAATCCTTTTTATAAAATAACGAATAAGTTTTTGCACACTTCTGCAACATAAATTTTCTTTGTCACTCTTTTCTTTCATTTTTTTACGCGACCAAACCACCGGAGCTTTCCAATCCTGGTCACAACATCATTTTGCAAACCACAATTTTCTCTTATCACACAATTTCCTACCCTGTTCTTCGGATTCAGCCTTGACGTACTCCTTAATGGCCGAATTTCTACGTACAAAAGTACTTTTGGTTTTTACCAAAAATCTAATTATAAATCTAATTATTCGGCATGTGTTGCTGTTTCTAGAAAGCCTTTCGTACAAAATTTTCTTTCCTCTTTTTTCTTTGTATGCCACTCATCATTTTAGAGAAATTCATTTAAGATTGTCTTTAATATTTGTTTCACTTTTGCCTTTTGTTTCTTGGGGAGTTATTTTAAAGAACTTCTATATTTGATTACTGTTCATTCATACTCGAACTTTATTTTATAAATATACATTTGTTCTAATGATTCTTACTATTTTCCTAATGTTACTCGAAAGAGTTGTAAAGCGGGTAGTTACACAACTTTAGACCATACGGCCCATTACCATATAGTACATAACGGCGTAAGGCCGTCACATGTCTGTAAGTTGTCTCTCTTGTTTTAGGAGCCTCTTGCAATATATTGACGAAGAGTTGATGCTCAGGTAAACGGAGAGGTTTTACACTGCATGCGTTCAGATCCATTTTGTGTGTAGATAGTTTGTAGAGGGCGCTGTTCGAAATAAGTTCTATGGTAGAGAATATTCCTGATAAATATTGTCGTTTTAGAAAGTTTGTTAATGACTAAAAAGCCCCAAAAATATTTATTTTAATTAATTAAATAAAAACGTCTGCATAAGATCTATTTCCCTAGTGCATTTTCCAGTATATTACAGCTGTTAGTAGAAATGTTTGACATGTAGTGACATTCAATAATATATATAGCATTATTTAGCTTGAGGAATGCTACATATATATATATATATATATATATATATATATATATATATATATATATATATATATATATAGCATTCCTCAAACTAAAATTTAAACAAGTATATAATATATGTATATAGTCTGCCCTGCTTTAGCTTTTAGATAGATTAATTTGCAAAAAGGGATAACAATGGAAAAGCTGTATATTATTAAATTTCGGGCTTTTATTTCGAACAGCCCTAACTTAAAATGATCATCTCTTATTATAAGATAATTGTGACTTCTAATTACATCAAACGATTTGTAAGTAATGATTATCTAAATGAGATAATTTGCATTTGAAGTTACGATTTTAATTCGGAGGTACCGCCGAATTTATTCTGTCAAGATTATTCTTTAGTTTACTGTATAAAGTGCTTTATAGACAGGTTAACTATCGCAAAACGCGTATAGACGTTCTAGTTTTTATCCGTTATAAGCACGTGAATATTAACGATTTCAAACTTATAATATTATGAGTTTAAAATCGTAAATATTCAAGTGTAAAGTGTTTGTTTTATCGCAAGTTACTTTTGTCTTATTCATTCATTCTTTATAGCCCGTTAAGTCCACTACTGAACTACCTACCCCATATATTATTTTCTAGAGGTGACATTTGCCTTAGAAGCCACGCTTGGCAGAGGCGTGTTGGCAACCGCAGGTTTTTTTTATTATTCATTCATTACAGCCTATTAAAGTCCACAGCTGAACGTAAGCCTCGCTTGTAGATTGCCTCGTAAGGATTCCCTGGGGGAATTTCCCCCTATGAGGCAATCAATATACCGTAGCTGCTATACTGATCGTTCGGGTTGGTAAACGCAGTACGTTATTATTTTGTTGTAAGTTGTTAATCAGAAAGATGACACTGTCCCCTTGCGCTTTTTCGTTTCTAACGACACCTACAGGAAGTAAACATCCTTATTTTACGGCTATGGCCAATTCTAGTTATGTCAATCGTACTTGATTAAAAACTAAGTAAAAATATCCAAAAATTGCATTAAGTCTGCATGTTACTACAAAATATATAATTAACAACTTCTTAAATGTAATTAGAGGTCACAATATTGTTCAAAATAGCTTCAGTAGTGTAGCTTGCTTATACATGAAAAGTAAACTGTTAAAATAATGTAAATTAATATTATAATACTTATTTAGTCCGTAGCATGATAATTTATCTAGCAAATCTGTTGTTCCTTTAAAAATGTTCTTTATTCCAAATTAATTCAAAATAAAAAATAAAACCAGTCTAAATATATATTTTTAAAGATTAATATGTTTTACTTTCACAGTGAATATAATTTTCACCACCAGCACCACTTGTTATATGACAATTGATAATACAATATTAAAAATATAAATAATCACTTTCCATTTTGTGTCTAACAGCACTCCCCGAGCTTGAAAAACCTAACTGCACTGCATTTCAAAGCAGCTTACTAACCCTGGAAAATCTACCAAATTGGTAACATTACTTTTTCCACAGGGCAACACTACCGTTGACAGCTGAAACGGCGAACATGACACAGGGTAGTTCTGCGCTATCAATACACGACCAACATTTGTCGCAATGCATTCAATTAAAACAGAACTTTTTGAATAGCTCCACAACCAATATATACCAAAGTCTGGCGTCGAATTTTCAAAGCCCGATTGGAGCGTCACGAGTTTCGATAGATGATCCATTGTGTAGGAAGATTGGTGAAACGGATATAATGTACGCGGACCAACCAGAAAGCGAAGTTGCGTTAGAATCTACACAAGTTAGGAATGCAAATTGTGAATGCGGTCTTTGCCCAAAACCGGAACCCAGGGATAACAACACTCTGAGCGATTTACAACGCTCCGTAGCTTCGAAGTGCTCGTGCGACGCTTGCAACTCAAACGGTGATATACTGAGCTACTACAGGAACTGTTCGAATCAGAATCAGGAATCGGGGATCGTCTACTGTGATACATGTAAAAAGCAAAAGATCTCGGTTTCAAACTTTAGGGCTCTGCAAATCGCGAACCGTTTGCGGATATCGGATACGGACAAGGTCGAAAATGGCGGGACTTCAGACGAGGATTTATGTAGGAGAATCGACATGAGCTTAAATATGGAGGAAAAGTCATACGAACATAGGAAAAGACACAATAGGCACAACTCTGACACCGTGACAGCGGGTATAGACTTAAGTCAGTTCTGTCAATGCGAGTTGGAGAAGAGGAAAACGTCTTCTGTAGATGAAATATTCAAGATGGTGGAAGAAGTAAGAGATGGGAAGGAGTTAACGGTGGAGGAGACAAAAAGCACTCAACGGCAAAGGAGTCTATCGGACAGTCAGAGAGATAAAGCCAAAGTGGATGCAGAAGGTGAGCTATTTGCTTTTGTATAAATCGTTAATAATATTTTTTAGTGGCGGTGTAAGAACATCTTCCTCATTTCACCCCGTGGGTGTCGTAAGAGGCGACAGAGGGGAACAGTTCGAGAGATATGCACCAGCGTCTACCTAATAATGACTAAAATATAAAACTGAGGTTACCAAGTGTGGAAACTATGGTAAATATTAAGCAACCTATGGGCGTGGCCTATGCTCAGCAGTGGACTGTGTATTGATACAGTCAGTCATCGCGTTTGATGTTGTTGGAAAAGCCGACATAAACAATTAATCGCTAGGGTTGTCAGAACGGGAAGTAGTAAAAAATAAAACACTGATTTTATTTTCATGTTTTAACAAATAAAAGAATATCACGGCAAATTAAAATTACTAAATGAGGGTTTTCTATCACACAGTTTTTTATCGCACATGTAGAGTGTGAACCGTTATTTATTTGCGGGACAACCCTAGCGGACAGTTCCCGAGCTATTAGCAGCCGCTCGGGAGCACTCCGCCCGCGTACGACTACCCCGTCTAGACGCCTTCTATGACCGACTGTTAGGGATGACTCACGCTGGACCGTGTCGGATCCGAGCTGAGTGTGGGTAGTAGCACGGTCAACTAATATTACATACATTTTGTATGGACACACTCACGCTATACCGAGCGAAAATCGAGTGACGGCCGAGCAACGGATAACGCTCGGCAACAACTCGGTCCCGGCTTGTAGTTGAAGATTTGTCAGATTCTTCATCGTCCAGAGCGATCGCAATAGCCGCTAATTGCAGATCGTCAAACTTCAACATGGTTGTAGTCTAGTTATAATACTATTTTTGCTCGGACGAGTATACTGCATCACGACGCAACGGTAATTGCTCGGACGAGGCCCGTCTTTGCAATTTCAGGCAAAGGACCGGCTCGTGACCGTGCTACGGCCGACACTCGGCTCGGACCCGACTCGGTCTAGCGTGAGTCAGCCTTTAGTAGTAGTTAGACTATGATAACGATATGAAAAGTCAACAGTCTATGATAACGGTATGAAAACCAACAACAGGGGGTCATTGTAGAAGCGTGCTCGTCGCGACCCCTGCCAGCCCTTTTCAGGGCTGCAATTCTACACAGCTGTGCACCCATGCAAAAGAGGGTTAGGGCGTCCCCCCAAGGCGACGCACACCAGCTCGTCCCCGTTGGTGTGGAATGCAGCGCGCAAAGCGGCGATGGGGACCGCCACCCGTCACGCACAGCCCGACACGGCGGAAGGTGGAGGACGGAGTGCAGAGTTGGCACGTGGAATGTTAGAGGGGGCATGAGAGATAAGACGAATGAGTTGATCGAAATAATGAAAGAAAGAGAATTAGATGTCGTGTGTATGTCGGAGACCAAACGAAAAGGCAGTGGTACTGAAGAGCTTCTTGGCGGGACGTTAGCTATATGGTCCGGAGTCCCGGAAAGCGAGAACGCCTGCCAGGGAGTGGGAGTGCTGTTGTCGTCCCGGTTGGTCGATCTTATGACTGAATACAAGGTTGTGAACTCAAGACTTCTCTGGGTTCGCTTCAAAATGGGACTGACGAAGTTATTCCTTTTGGCTGTTTATGCGCCGGTAGCTTCGTCGTCCAGGGCTGAGCTGGAGGAGTTTTGGGAGAATGTAAGAGAAGTTCTAGATTTGGTTAAGGGAAACGAAAGAACTGTTGTATGTGGTGATCTGAATGGATGGGTAGGTATCGCTCGACCAGGATACGAGTCGGTGCTTGGAAAGTTTGACGATAAAAGGGTTAATGATGCTGGCAAGCTTATACTGGCTGTATGGAAGGAAAAGGGTCTTCTTGTGACAAACACTATGTTTAATCACAGGAAAATCCATATGTACACTAGAGAAAGAAAGAATGAGAGAAGTATGATTGATTTGTTCCTGGTGGATGACCGACTGCGAAAACAGGTGATGAATACACGAGTGTTCAGGGGTGCTGACCTGGGAACGGATCATTATCTAGTAATTACTAGATTTAGGGGTTTGTTTGCGGGTTGGCGCTACCGGACGGCAGTAACAGAACCACAGTCGGTCTGTCGCATCCGAAGCTGGAAGCTTCAGGAAGCGGATACTAGGGACAAATATCACACGAGGGTAGCCGAAAAGCTTGACACCATCGATGGCAGGAAAGAATGTGTGGAGAGAACATGGCAGAACCTTAGGGATGGAATGGTAAGTGCAGCGGAAGAAGTATGTGGTACGACAAAAAGAGGTAGTAGTAAAAGAAGAGATGCATGGTGGAATGATGAAGTGAGAGAAGCTGTAAAAAAAGAAGAAAAAAGCATGGTTAGACTACTTGGCCTCTAGTAACGATGAGCATATGAGAGAGAAGATGAAAGAAAGATATAAGCTGCAGAAAGTTCATGCGAAAACATTGATTGAGGAAGTACGTGAAAGGTGTAGAATAGAAGCGGACGAGAGGTTGTCGCACAACTTTAGGGAAAACTCCAAACTCTTCTGGAAAGAGGTTGGAAGGTCCCGGAGTGGTGCGACAGCCTTAAGAATGAACAAAGTGCTTTCGAGAACCAAGGACGTCCTCTCAGAAAAATCGGACGTCATGCAGCGATGGAGTGAATTTTATAGAGAAATGTATGCGTGTCATGATCTTAGTGAAGGATCCGGGGGTGACGCCGTGACTGCCACGCCAGACACGGACCTCGATGACACTGAGGTCATCAGCATAAAAGAGATTGAACGTGCGATTCGAAGTTTGAAATGTGGTAAGGCTGCGGGACTAGACAGAGTTACTGCTGAAATGGTCAAGTACGGTGGGCCTCGCGTCTGGGACAGCTTCCATCTGCTGTGCTATTTGTGCTGGCGGACGGGAGATGTCCCGGATGATTGGCGATCCGCGGACATTGTGCCTTTATATAAAGGTAAAGGTTCACATTTTGACTGCGGGTGCTATCGGGCGATCAGCTTGACCAGTTTAGCAAGTAAAGTTTACTCGAAGGTTTTGACACGTAGGATGCAAGAGAAATCGGAAAGATTCTTATGGGAGGCACAATGCGGATTTAGACCTGGAAGAGGATGCACGGATCAAATGTTTTCTCTCCGCATGATCACGGAGAAGCTTCTGAGTGTTAACCAGAAGATTTTCTGTGCTTTTGTGGATCTGGAGAAAGCATTTGATAAGGTTATAAGGAAGAAAATGTGGGAACTGTTGCCGGGATATGGTGTGAATGGTCGATTGTTAAGGGCTGTGCAGTCACTTTACTACGACTGTAAAGCCTGTGTGCGGGTAGGGCATGACCTGTCACCCATGTTTAGCGTCCAAGCGGGCGTAAAACAGGGTTGTGTCATGTCTTCCTGGCTGTTCATACTGTATCTCGACAGCTGTTTACAGAAGCTGAAAAATAGCTGTTTCGGTGTGAAATTGGGTGACATAAAAGTTAATTGTCTGCTGTATGCTGATGATGCAGTGCTTATTGCACCATCAGAAGCAGAACTGCAGGCATTAGTCACGTGTATGAAAGAGGAATGTGAAATTAAAGGTCTCCGTTTGAATGCTAATAAAACTAAGGTTCTGGTATTTGAAAAGGACGAAGAGAGAACGAAATGTGAAATATGGGTAAATCAGGAATGTCTAGAACAGGTAAATGAAATTGTATACTTGGGGAGTGCTTTCAGCCGGGATGGAAGATGTGATTTAGATGTGGATAGGCGTGTCGCTGCCGGAAACAAAGTCAATGGTGCCCTGAATGCATTAGTAAAAAGGCAAGGCGTGGTGAAGAGTGCACGCCTTGCAATACATAATGCAGTGTTGGTACCGATTTTGTTATATGGCAGCGAAACCTGGGTATGCCAGAAGAAGCATAAAAGCAAGTTGAATGCAGTGGAGATGCGATCTCTTCGTAAAATGTGTGGCGTTACCTTAGCCGACCGAAAGCGAAACGAAGAGATTCGCAATATGGCAGGATTGAAAGATGACCTTATCACAAAAATTGATAGGGGCGTACTCCAATGGTTTGGGCACGTTGAACGAATGAGTGAAGACCTAATGGTGAAGAAAATATATAGAGCAAAAGTAAATATTAAAAGGTGTCGAGGTAGACCGAGACTAACTTTCGAAGACCATGTGAGCAAATTGCTCGAAGAGGGGAGGGTCAAGAGTACTCGGATACCTAGACGTGCATGTATGAAGAAGTTAATGAACCTGAAGGAAGCGAAAGAGGTATGTAAGGATCGTGACACTTGGCGATCTGTTCTCTCTGGCTACCCCGTTAGGGATTGTGCGTGAAGATAAGCAAGCAAGCAAGCAAAAGTCAACAGTTTTTTTTAAATTTGTAATCAGGAAAATGCTGCAACCCCTCATTGTTTCATATTTTCTATGTCGTCCCTTACGACACCCAACGGATGATATGGGGTATATTATCTTACGTATATTATCTTACGTCATACGGCACAATAATAAATGATTATACATACTTAAAAATGTATTATACTCAAAAATTAATTACGTTAAAGAAAACTTGTATAAAGACAGTTATGTAAGTAACAATAGGCCGGCCATATAGCTGGAAGAACCGACAACCGATGGGGGAAAAGGTTCTCGAGTGGTAACCTCGTACTGGTATGCGGAGTGTGAGGCGACTCCCTCACTAGATGGAGTGACGACCTAGTAAGACATGCAGGTAGTCGATAGATATAGGTGTCTCAGGACCGTGCTTTGTTGCGTCCCTTGGGGGAGGCCTATGTTCAGCAGTGGACTTGCGAAGGGCTGTAATGATGATGATGAAAGAAGTTTCTAATTTTACTATATTCTCATACAATTGCTATAGAATTGTTTGTTTTATAACTCTAAATATACAATTGACTAGTGTCAAACACCTAATATCGTAAGTAGTACCGGTGTAATGGTGTTAGATAAAAACTTCCCTTCCACAGCGAGCGCGGGTTCGGTGCCGCCGGTGCCGCCGCGGCGCGCCCGCTCGCGGCGGGCGCACACGCCGCCGCGTCCGGCGCCCAACGGCTTACCGCCCACGCCCAAAGTCCACATGGGGGCCTGCTTCTCCAAGGTCAGATTTTACTTTAAAACTGTAACGAAGGTTATTATAAGGTCGGGCAAAAGGTTTCTTCGCGTTTTGTTTGTATAAAATTGAAGAACAATCTCTTTGGTTGCACTGTTTGTATCTGCCCGATTTTAATATCAACACATTTAGGACATTAAGAAAAAAAAAAGAAAAAAAAAACACCCCTATTTCAATTGTTTTTCTGCCCGCCAATCAGTGAATCTAATGAAGAAATTCAAGACATTCTGAAGTTTTATTACAAAAAGAAGAAGAAAATGCTACTCAAGCCGCGAAAAAAAAATTTGTCGTTTATTGACTTAACACAGTGTCAGTAAGAGTAAGTAGCACAGAGTTCGTTCAAACGTTTTCAGTCCACGAATTTTGATGTCAAAGATACAGCTCGCTCTGGTCGCCTTCATACGGATAAAGACGATGCTATTTTTGAAAAGGTGGAGCAAGATCGGCATATTAGTAGTTACGACATAGCCGAGGAATTAGGGTTTAACCACAACACAGTTTTGATCCATTTAAAGAAATCTGACTACAAAAAAACACCATATTTGGGTATCACATCAACTCACTAAAAGAAACCTAATGAATCGTATACTCATTTGCGATTCTCTATTGAAACGTTATGAAACCGAACCATTTTTGAATAGATTGACAACTGGTTATAACAAGTGGATCACTTACAACAAAAACGTGTGAAAAAGATCGTGATCAAACGGTAATCAAACTCCACAGACTGTATCGAAACCCGGATTAACACGCAATGCAAAAAGGTGATACGGTGTATATAGTGGGATTGGAAGAACATCATTTATTATGAGCTTTTACTGCTGAACAAAACCATCGATTCGGATCTCTATTGCCAACAAATAATAAAACTTAACCAAACAATTGAGAAAAGACGGCTGGAATAAAATCAACAGAAAATGAGTGGTCTTTCAACATGATAACGCCAAACCACACACATCTTTGGCCACTCAATAAAAATTAAGAGAGCTTGGTTGGGAAGTATTAATGCATCCACCATATAATCTTGACCTTGCACCTTCAAATTTTCACCCGTTTTGGTCTCTTCAGAATTCTTTGGGTAGTGTTTGGTTACATCAAGAGAGAACTGTCAAAACTACATGTCGCATTTTTTTCATCAAAAATCCCAAGGTTTCTACAGCAGCGGGATACTACCTACTAGATGGTAACAAGTTATTGAACGAAATGGCAAATATATATATATATATATATATATATATATATATATATATATATATATATATACAATATGTAACGTAATTAACGCACACCCTCAGACACCCCAATTAGTATATTATGTTATAATCATAATACATACACTGAATTTTAGTTAAAACATTTTTATGCACTGACTATTCATCAAATTAGTTATACTAATTCCGGAAGAATGTTGTGGTCGCAGTACAAATCCACGAACGCAAAGACTTTAACATGCTTGAAATAAAGTTCATTTTTCTTTATTTTTATTGAATGACAGAATTAGTAATAATAACAAATAAAACTGCACTCTTAAAAGTCTTATTGCCTTAAGTTACGGTCCATTTCAGTTTGTTTTGACTGTACAGATTTAGTGTGACTGTAATTTACGTAGTTTTATTTATTTTTGGAATAAAAATTACCTATATTAAAAATGAAAGGAATCGATTCAGTAAACGATTCTGAACAAACTACTTTCTCAAAGTGCGTTAATTATGTTACGTGTTGTATATATATATATATATATATATATATATTAATTAAATGTAATCAAACTTCGAAAAAAAAATGTTTTGAAATTGTAAATAAAATACGAAGAACCTTTTTTCCCGACCTTATAATATAAATAAATACAAGCTGTTTCTTAAATAAGTTTTGTAAGTAGTTCGTAGAACCGTGTGTGTGTATTTTTTTACTTTGGTAAAAAAATACACACACTTTTTTTTACTTTGTGGTTTCTTGCTGGCTCTTCCCAGGACAGATTTTCTAAACCAGAGATAAAAGTAACAAAGTAAAGAGTAATTTTCAATAAGAAATACTACTTGTATATATATATATATATATATATATATATATATATATATATATATATATATATATATATATAGCAAATATATTCTAATCTATTCTATTCTAGTAATCTGCTATGAGGTGATCGCGTTGTAGATCTGCCACAACTGCAGTTTTATCATGTTTACCTAGTAGGTTGCGACGAGTCTTTTTTTTTAAATATAAAATAAGGGTCATGAACGAGCTCACAATTCGTCTGATGGAAGTGGACCCAAAAAACTACCTTCGCAAATCTTCATCTCATCAATCAATTTTTATAATCTCTAGATTAACTTTTAGAGATGATTAAAAGTACCTTTTTATATTACAGTCAATATAAACCTTTAATTTAAAAGTTTTGAAATCATTTATATTGTTAATTTCAGGCAATCTTGAACTGAAATTTTAGTGATTTTAAGCCTTCGACTTCAGCCACAAATTGACCTTTGGTCAGACTCCAGTAGTAATTAATATAAATAAAATTGTTTTTCTTTTCAAATTAATACATAGTGTATTTAAGTAACTATAATGACATAATTATTAAACTGTAACTAAAATATACAAGAACTGTAATTTTAAAAGAAATGTATGTTCAAATTTTTATTTTTGTTTCTCGATAGCTTTTAGAATCGATATTTTTTGCTTTGCTTTGTGAATCGTTAATCGCCATTTGCTTAATCGATTTAAAATTGTTCAATCTCTAGTCTCTATAAACATTAAACTTTATGCTGTCATATGCACCATGCCACAACGCAAAGACTATAATACGAAAATTATTTCTCAAATGTACGCAATAGGGTTTGTAACAACAACAAATATCAATTTACAAAATCCTTAGATCATTCTTTACTGTTGTTTACGTAAAAAAAAATAACGTAACATAGTTTAAAAGCATAAATTATACTATCGTAGTTTTTATTTTCATCAGGTGTTCAACGGATGCCCGCTCAGGATAAACTGTACGGCGTCTTGGATACACCCGGATACACGGGATCAACATATTTTAATTGGTAAGGCATTTTCCTGCTGTTTGGTTTTTCAATGAAAATATAAAATTACTTGTGAACTTTGCTGTCTTATTTTTTGTTTGTTGTTTTTAATTTTTTGGAATTTATTAGGCAAATAAAAATACAAACGTAAAAAATAATATAAATTGAAAATAAAATACAAATGTAAATGCAATATGTAAAAAACACCCAATCCGATCAGAAACGTGCACTGAGGTACCTCCACTTCTTTACCAAAGAAAACATCATTGCCCTTATAAAATACAACGTCAATTTAAGAAACGCTTCAAGTTGATGTCTTTTCACTTAGTGCCAATAGAAAGAGACAGTTATAGGGATCATTAATACTTATGTAAGCGTTCTTTAACGATTTAAGTATGACCGCAAATATTAATGTATTTTAATATAAAATGTTATTGTTAAATGAAATACATGATTTTACAAACATTTACTAAATTTATCAAATTTTTTAAATTTAGCAATACCGTCGCCGTCGACGGTGTATTCTAGCGGTATTTTTAGAGAAAAAATTACATGTACGGAATCATATTTATATGTTAATGATTACCAAATGCATCCTTACGGATCTTACTGGGTTTTAAACATATTGTATATATCATAATATACTATCTGGTAGCCGGCGCGTTGCTGACATAAAATAATTAATTTTGGGAATTTGGTTTTAAATTTGGAAGAGTTATATAAGTAGTTTAATTAAGAATAATAATAAATTCATTGAAGTTGAGTGACATTCAAATAAATTAGTCGGTACGATACGCGCGCTGCCTAGTGAGTTGGACTATGTCTATATAACCTTTGCGCATTTGCTAGCAACAAGTTGCGAAAGTTTTACTGCAATCTAATAAAAGGAGTGGCAGCGCATGAAATACGGACAAACAAACATTAATTTTTGTATATAACGGACTTAATTTGACCGTCTAGTGGTATTGTAAGAATATCCACTACACCATATCATCCCGCGGGTATCGTAGGAGGCGACAGAAGAAAATAAACCAGGAAATCGCCTACCAAGGGCCAGGTCGTTTTACATGGGGGATATTTGACATAATTGCCATATTATATCAATATCCCAAAATATATCAAATATTATAGTGTGATGAGCTCCCTTAATTTAGTAGTGGAATTCGGATAAGTGGAGACAGTGGAGGTGAGGAGGTTAAAGTGGGGGTGTAAGGGAGCGAGATGCTTAATCAATTATTTTTCACGCGGATCTGGTTTACTTAATTTTAACATTGCGAAGAATATGAATTGAATTCTATTGACATTATAAAGCCCACACTACTAATATTATATAATTATGTATCTATTTAAACATTTTGAATCCAACAGGCGCAGAAGAAGGCATTTATACGCTGAATTTAAACGAACTGCACGAAACGGCCATGGACCAGCTGTGTCCGCGACGAACCATCTGGATGCATGTCATCAAAGATGTGCTTATGTCACTCTCCGGTAAATACCTTCATCTAACATAATTTATATAATACAAAATGTCTTCTTAACTTCAAGATCTTTTACTTAGATCGCCACGTTGTGCAAGCATTAACGAATTGAGTACCGATCAAGAGCAACTTTTACACAGCTTCCCGTCTTATATCTGGTAAACACGAGATGGATATAGTGCCATCAGTCGGAATATATAACATATTTCTGGCGTTTCCGACAGTCACCTCAGTGATGAATTCTTGTATGTTGCTACCACATGACCCTAGTATAAATTTTCTCTTAATGGTAGAAACATTAAAAGACAAAAAAGTTTTATAATGTTAGCATCAGAGTAATAAATTTATTAGAATTGTTTTTTTATAGAATAAGGGTCACAAACGAGCACACAATCCACCTGATGGTAAGTGGATGCTGTGGTCTATAGACATCGACACTTAACTTCGATTAAGAAACAAAATGCAGATGCGTTGTCACCCATGAAGACAAAGATGGAATGCCTCAATTCCAGTAAAACGAATCTCCTGTTCTCTACACTTACCATACGAAATCCAGCAGTAACAAGCTACTATTTTACGCTGGTATTCTGTGAGAGCGTTCTGTTCCCCGGTCGAGCCGACCATTCGTGCAACAACCATAATATAGCTGCAGCATAGCTCTACCACATATAATTTAATTGTTGCAGTTATTTTCCTGTATTCGTGAGGTATTTCAATTTTTTAATTTTGTATAAGGGTGACAAACGAGCACACAGTTCATCTGATGGCCTAATAATCTTTCGCTCACTAGATGTCGCTGGTTGGAAATTAAGTTTTTGTTACACAATGTCATATAATTTAGAAATTAGTTTTAAATAAATGTTTATCAGTTTCTAGAGTATTATAATAATACACAAAATACAGCCTCAGTTATTTGATTTTTATTTTTTGCATATTTTAACTGTCTTTTAATTTATCTACTTTTATGATATACATAGAGTGTCTTAACTCTCTAAGTTCTAAAATTATAATATTTAACAATAACCCTTACATTTTCCTAACAAATTAATTTTCTCACTATGATATCTTTCAAATATTTCACTTCATTCCAAAGACGCGTAGCCCTATTGGCAGAAAAAGTCATTGGATACTCTGGTCCATAGACATCTACTTCTGTCCTTAACTAAGAATAAAAACTCAAATGTGTTAACATTTCTGAGAACTAAGAGGAAATTCCTCGTTTCCAGTTAACACGGTCACCTGGTAAATCCATGCTGCAGCTATATTATGGTTGTAGCACGAATTGATCGGCTCGACCGGGGAAGGATCACATTGTCTCAGAGTACTAGCGTGAAATAACAGCTTAATGTTGCTCTGTTTCGTATGGTGCTTATGAAGGTAGACTGCTAAACATAGGCCTCCTTCATAGATTACCTTATAGGGAGGATTTTGCCATAATTGCCACCTTTGGCTGGCGGATTTGTCACCGTAGTTTCCTAAATTATGAGATTTTTGATCAGAAGGATGCTCCTGCCCATCTTCTGTTACCTTTCATTTTGTAAACTCTTACGATATCTATGATATTGGGTGATTTTTCTACGCCATTACTACATGACGCCATTTCTGCGCGGTGTACCCTCATAAGCGTAGCTTCACGTCTGTAATCCTCGAGAGGGGTAGGAAGAGTCCAAGAAGTAGCGAGTTACTCGGACCACATTTAACCAAAAAGACGAGTTAATTGGGCTACTTTACAAGTCGCAGGTTCGACTGCACATGGAATACTGTTCCCATCTCTAGGCTGGGGCTCCCCAGTGTCGGCTTCTTCCATTTAATCGCATCCGGCGCAGAGCTGTTCGAATTGTCGGCGACCAAGCTCTTTCCGATCGGCTTGACTCACTGGCACTGTTAAGAGATATTGCATCTCTTTGCCTATTTTATCGTATTTACTACGGAGAGTGCTCTGAGGAATTGTTCGGACTAATTCCAGCCGCACGATTTCAAACATCGCACATCGTGACAAAACTCGCGATACCATCCATGCCATCTGGATGAAAGAGGGCCACCACTGTGCGATTTAAAAGAAGTTTTCTTCCTCGCACGACTTCCTGGTAGAATCGACTACCACCAGATATTTTTCCGGACCGATACGACTTAGGAACCTTCATCTCCAATTCCCCTGGTGTTACAGTGGTTCATGGGCGGCGGTAATCACTTACTTATAAAAAAATATGAAAGAAATAATAGCTGGCTGGCCTATCGCCTACACACTCACAAACTTAATATACTCTTTGTTTCTTTTTACGATATGCAAGTTTCACACAAACATATCTGGATCTATTAATCCCAGACCAACATGGGGTTTATCTTCTCATTAATAACAACATACGTATATAAAGGCATCAATGTATGTAATGTACTTCTGGAGAGGCTTTGTGGCCTTAATACATTACGTACCAAGTGACGTCAATTCTCCGTAACTCCTTTAGTGACTTGTATTGCATAATAATCCGCAGCTGTGACACAGCAAAGTGTGTCAAACACAGTTTTTGTTCTAAGCTGCCGGCGTAGTTATATATATATATATATATATATTAAGTAGATAGTTAAAGCCGGCCAATTATTTTGAGTTTAGATTCGACTTTGTTTTTGAATACCGGCCCTAAAGTTTGGGATGGTACTCAGTGATAATTTCTACAAAACTCAAATTCTATAACGTGTAAATTTGTAGAGTATAATATAGGCTAGACTTAAAAATATTATTACGTAAATGTGTACACGTAATGAAACGACCTCAAAATGGCGGCGGCGTCCTCACTCTACATAACAACTTGTACTATATTTGATCCTTTAGTTTGGATGTAGTTGATATATTTGTGGTTGCAACACCAAACTGTATTCCCAGATTTTATTATCATCACTTCTTTGAATTGCTTCCCATTATGAAAGCAAATTGAAAGGAGTATTTATGTATATACGTGGTAGAAACACACTGTATCTATATTATGTTTGTAGGACGAATAGGTCGGCTCGACTGGGGAATAATTACGCTCTCATAGAATACCAACCTAAAATAGCAGCTTAATGTTTGCTGTTTCGTATGATGAATGTAGAGAACCGGAGACCCTTATTACTACAAACGAGGCATTCGAACTTAGTTTTCTGCATTGTGATTCTTAATTGAAGTAACGTAACCACAATATAGGTATGGATGGGGCCACTGCATCTACTTGTCATTGGGTGGACTGTGTGCGTTTGTCACGCTTATTTTATATAAAATGTTTGTTTGTTTTTTTCTGTGACGGATGGGGTGTTGCAGGCAAGACGCCGTCTTTGTACCGGCACGAGCTGCTAGCGCTGCTGGGCAGCTCACGTGGCGGCCGCTCGCTACGGGTGCTGCCACCGCGCTTGCTGCCACGTCGGTTTGCACTCACCACGCGCGTGCCCGACACCAGGGGTACGGGGGGAGGGGGAGCTCTGCTACTTATATTTTATATATAATATTTCAAGAAATTAATATAATATTACAAGAAATTAAAATATTTCAACAGTTTTCGACATAATAGCAAAACAATGAATTTTAAGTGGTTCTCGATAGTAAGCTTACAATTTTCCGCTCACCAGATGTAGCTAGTTGGTACTAAAGTGAAATCAGTTGTTACGCAATGTCTATAAGTGATAAGTCACATTTTAAATAAAATTTTAACGATTTCTAGAGTAGTAAATACACAAAACAATTCCTCAATGGTTTGCTTTTAAAATTTTGCAAGTTTTAACTCATTTTTTTATTTACTACTTTTTAGAATATCTGCAATTTGGTTTATTCATTTTTAATCTAATTTAAAAAAATATAACTAATTCCTACGCACTTCACATTCACACATTTACATACACCACGTACACGCACCCACTGCACACGCACACCCACGCTTTTTCAAGACAAAGGAGTTTTCTTCCGCGTACAACCTCTCTGTGGAATAGTTTACCACCGGCGATTTTTCCGGACCGATACGACCTGGGGACCTTCAAGAAAAGAGCGTACTCCTTTCTAAAGGGCCGGCAACGCACCTGCAGTTTATCCCCTCATCTATAAAAAAAAACACACAGGCACAGGCACCCAGGAGACACATGAAACACATAGTGTAATATTTGTTATGTCAAATAAACTAGGAAGTATAATTTATTTAAAAATCACAAACAAACGGTATATACAGCAGTGTATTGTATCCTATTCAGGTTGCATGCGGTGTGCGGTGTCGCGGAACCCGTACAACGGCTACAAGTACCTCTGCGGCGCCACGCCGGCGGGTCTCTTCCTCATGCAGTGGTACGATCCCCTCAGGAAGTTCATGCTGCTCAAGGTACGTCCGCTTGTCTAACTACTGCGCAACTAACATAATAGATGTAGATCTCCCTTCCCGTTAACGTAACAGACTATTAAAGTCCACTGCTGAATATAGGCCTCCCATACAGATTGATATTTACCATATTTGCCACACTTGGCAAGCGTAAGCTATTAGGAAGAATTGAAACTCATTTGATTTCCTCTGTTGCCTCTTACTACGCCCACGGGATGATATCCCTTTAGTTTCCACCATGAAACAACCAGGCGCTCGACCGGTCTCCACCTTTTCGTTGTCAACTTAGCACGCATTCCAACCAAAAGCAAAAAACCAAAAAAAAAAAGGTTTGATGAATCGTTAGTCATGCGTACAGCAAATGAGTGGTATAAGTTGCCAGCATCATCTTCCACGATTTCAATGTATCTTCAAGGTTTTCGTTACGACAGTGCGCTTCACCATTTTCGGCTACATCACCATTTACCATCAGGTGAGATTGTAGTTAAGCGCTGGTTTAGAATAGTAAAGAAAAAAAAATGTATTAATGTCCTCCAGACCGAATTCCGGTCACGCCGTCCAGTCACAACGAAGACTAAAGACACGATAGTGCACGAGTGCGAGCGCAAGCATAGGCACACTCTGTATTCCCTCACTGTCATAGTCCGATTGGACGATAATCCGACGCGTACCGAATAGAGATTAGGCGCAGGAACAACGTCTTCACGTGCTTTTCGGGGCACTAAAGTGAGCCATCGCGAACTTCCTGACTCCGGGCTGCTATATAGAATTTCTTGACAAAAACTCAATAACTGATTTTTTTTCCGGCCCGATTCTTGATTCGAACCTGGGACCTCACGACAGCAGTGACATTAAAGACCACTTGACAAACGAAACAGTCATCTACAACTGACAGTAAAGTCATAAACATCTATAAAGAAGTGGACTGAGGTCCCATAGATAATAAACATACAATGGCCATAAGGTTGTAAATCTTGGAATTTCCCATAGACCTTTTGACATATATGATATAACCATCCCGTACATAGAATACTATAATACATACATAATAGAACGGCGGAGTCCGTGTAGCTACTACCATATCAATTCACACCTATAAATGTCAACACAATCAATCGTTTCCAATCTGCGTGTCAAGCGTCGCTGCATGCAAAATATTTAAAAAATGGCGAATTGCGCAATAATTATGTGTCGAAATAACAACGGGAAATGGAATTTAAATAACGAAGACATATCCTACAACCAGTAAGTCGAAACTATTTATATTTTGTGAATATTAGAAACGAAAATAAAACAATATTGATGTGTCAAAACATTAATCAAATTTTTAAAATGTGTAAATTCGCTCAGTCTGTCAATATAGCGAACCGGGTTTGTAACTGATAATACTACGTAATTGTTTGCAAGTGTGCTCCCGGCGACGCCGATCCTCGTACAAAATAAGGTTGACAGCCATTCTATTGTGTAATATAGTATTCTATGATCTTCATCATAATCATCATCATTACAGCCATTCCCAAATTCACTGCTGAATATAGGCCTCCCCCAAGGCTTACCATCATCTCATATTTTAATTAAGTTAATTATTTTCTGTATTGACTTGTTACGTAGACGATTACTTGTAAACGAATGAGAGATTTAAGTAAGGTTGAATTACAAATCGACATAACTGTCCGTGCGTGCGTGTGTGCGTGTGCAAACAGGTGTATATATATATGGATTGCATACGTTAGTATGCCGTGTAGTGGCGGTTAAGAATATCCACTACCCCATATCTTCCCGTGGGTGTCGTAAAAGGCGACAGAGGGAAACAGGCAGGAGATGGGCAGCAGCATCTTCCTGATAACAGCAACTGTACGACAAAAACCCCCCATGAACAATTACACAAATAGACGGCCCCCAGTCCCCGGCGGCTCCGCTATTCCTGGCTACGGTGGCGACCATGGTAACGGCGGGGCAGGGGGTGCTAAGAATCTCCGGTGGAGGTTCGGTTGCCACCTACGACGACTCGACCTGGCAACATTTAACGCACGCACACTGAGGACTGAGGAGAAGATCCTGGAACTGGAAGAAGAGATAGACAAGTTGCGCTGGAGTATTATAGGATTATCCGAGGTCCGAAGAGAGGGGGAGGACACGGTGATTCTCGAATCCGGCAACTTGTTGTATCACCGGGAGGGCGACCATCTGTCCCAAGGAGGTGTCGGATTTATCGTCCACAAGTCTCTCGTCAACAACGTTGTAAAGATTGGGAGTGTGTCGACGATGGTCGCTTACCTGATACTCAGAATCACCAAACGGTATTCGCTGAAGGTCATACAGGTTTACGCACCAACCTCGGCACATTCCGATGAGGAGGTGGAGGAAATGTATGAGGATATTTCCAACACGGTGTTGATGGGAGACTTCAACGCAAAACTAGGCACAAGAGAAAACGGTGAGCTGAAGTTAGGGAAATTTGGAGTAGGGCAACGGAACCGAAGGGGCCAGCAGCTGGCCGACTTTATGGAGAAAGAGGGACTCTTTATGATGAACTCTTTCTTCCAGAAGCGGCCCCACAGGAAGTGGACCTGGTCGAGCCCCGACGGTTCGACAAAAAATGAGATTGACTTCATTATGACGACCAGACGCCAACTGTTCAGTGATGTCTCAGTGATCGCAAGGGTGAAAACTGGCAGCGATCACCGAATGGTTAGAGGCACACTGAACCTAAACGTTAAGTTAGAGAGGTCTCGTCTAATGAAGTCAACGCTCCGTCCCCCTCGTGCTCTAATCCAGAATCCCGAAAACTTTCAGCTCGAGTTACACAACCGCTTTCAGTGCCTACAAGATTGCAATGCAGTGGACGATATGAATGCCAAGCTCGTGGAAACTGTCCATGCGGTTGGAGCTAAGTTCTGCAAGACCCGACGCAGAAGAACACAAAAACTCTCCGATCACACTCTTAATCTCATGGCAGCATACAGGCAACTGAACAGACAGATCTCCAAATGCATGCGGCGAGACTTACGCAACTTTAATACTTCTCGTATTAAAGAAGCGAACGAGCGGAACCAGGGCTCCAAAATCTTTGCCAGAGATCTGTCTGCCAGAAAGAGCCAACTGTCAAAGCTGAAGACTGAGTGTGGCAACATCGTTTCCGGGACACCTGAGATTCTGAGTGAGATTGAGAGGTTCTATGGGCAGCTGTACACATCATCGTTGGAGCCACACTCAAGTGTGAGGAACGATCCAAGAGCAAGTCTTATCCGACACTATTCCGATGATATCCCGGACGTCAGTCTGAGCGAGATTACATTGGCTCTCCAACACCTTAAAAACGGCAAGGCCCCGGGCGAGGATGGAATTACAGCGGAGCTTCTGAAAGCGGGTGGAACACCGGTACTTGAAGTCCTTCAGAAGCTCTTCAATTCCGTCCTCCATGGTGGCACTACTCCAGAGGCGTGGAGCAGAAGTGCGGTGGTCTTGTTCTTTAAGAAAGGCGACAACGCTCTCTTGAAGAACTACAGACCGATTTCCCTTCTGAGCCGCGTCTACGTGCTGTTTTCGAGAGTCATTACGAATCGTCTCGCACGCAGACTCGACGACTTCCAGCCTCCCGAACAAGCCGGTTTCCGAAAAGGCTTCAGTACCATAGACCACATACATACCCTGCGGCAGATTTTACAGAAGACCGAGGAGTACAATCTGCCATTTTGCCTGGCGTATGTGGACCATAGTCCAAAAAAAAAGTAGAAAGCCTTTGATTCCGGATAGCCGGTTTCCGAAAAGGCTTTAGTACCATAGACCACATACATACCCTGCGGCAGATTGTACAGAAGACTGAAGAGTACAATTTGCCACTTTGCCTGGCGTATGTGGACTATGAGAAAGCCTTTGATTCCGTCGAAATTTGGGCGGTGCTGCAGTCCCTTCAGCGGTGCCAAGTTGACTGTCGGTATATCGAAGTGCTGAAGTGTTTGTACAGTAGGGCTACGATGGCTATCCGAGTACAGAACCAGAGCTCGAAACCTATCCAACTGCAGAGAGGTGTAAGACAGGGTGACGTTATATCCCCGAAACTCTTCACCGCTGCTTTGGAAGACGTTTTCAAGCTACTGGACTGGAAAGGATACGGTATTAACATCAATGGCGAGTACATCACTCACCTTCGATTTGCCGACGATATAGTCCTTATGGCAGAATCGCTGGAGGACTTAAGCACTATGCTCAATGACCTCAATAGTGCCTCCCATCGGATAGGTCTTAAGATGAACATGGACAAAACAAAGATCATGTTTAATGTCCATGTCACACCTATGCCGGTAGTTGTTGGGAGCACTATGCTCGAAGTTGTTGACAAGTACGTTTACCTGGGACAAATAGTCCGACTAGGTAAGTCCAACTTCGACCGAGAGGTCAATCGACGGATTCAACTCGGCTGGGCAGCGTTCGGGAAATTACGACACATCTTCTCGTCAGGTATACCTCAATCTCTGAAAACTAAAGTGTACAACCAGTGCGTGTTGCCAGTGATGACTTACGGATCAGAGACGTGGTCCTTCACTGCTGGCCGTATGAGGACGCTCAAGGTCGCTCAGCGAGCTATGGAGAGGGCTATGCTCGGAGTTTCTCTGCGTGATAGACTCAGAAATGAGGATATCCGCAGTAAAACCAGAGTGACCGACATAGCCCAACGGATTAGTAAGCTGAAGTGGCAATGGGCCGGCCATATAGCTCGAAGAACCGATAACCGATGGGGAAGAAAGGTTCTCGAGTGGCAGCCTCGTACCGGTAGGCGTAGTGTAGGGCGACCCCCACTAGATGGAGTGACGACCTGGTAAGATATGCAGGAAGTCGATGGATGCAGGTGGCTCAGGACCGTGCTTTGTGGCATTACTTGGGGGAGGCCTATGTTCAGCAGTGGACTTGTGAAGGGCTGTAATGATGATGATGATGATGATACGTTAGTAAAATTTGGTCTCCTATATTTAGATAAGAAATGATGATATCGCCTTATTATGTAATGAATACCTGATAAATTTTATTCTAATTGATCCTGTATTTTTTTAATTTATTTAATGTTACTTGAACTTATTATTCATCCATCCAACCAGCCCTTTTTAATTTGATATGACATTCGAAAAAGGTCGATATATTTTTTTACGGATTTGGAATTATTGAATATACATTTATTTATGTAGCTGGTAACCCTTATACGGCTCTTAACGATTTGTTTGAAATATGGTATTTAAATAATATTATGCTTTATATTCTGAGAAAATAATTATTTTTTAATTATTCGTACTTATAACCACGTTTATGTTACGCCCATGCGGGACATACGGTATGTTTTACTTAAGTCACGCATAAAATTCATAATATTTAATAATTTAAAAAAAAACATGTATTGAAACATAATAATAAACACAGAACAATGGAACTTTAATTAGTGACATCTATTAGAATACTTTAAATTACGAATAAAACATTAAATCATTTGATCAAGAAATTTAAAAAAATAAATGACATAATTATTTTAATTTTTTGTACATTTTTAGCTTGAACTGAATTCATTAAAGTACGATTATTAAAAACGTAATTATTATTACTACCATTTACCGTCACGTTACAATTGCTAAAAAAAGATCGTAGTGAATTCAGGTTTGATATATCATTTACATATTATAAGCTCTCTGCTACATTACGTATAAGTTATCTGGATCATACAGAACTTCTGTAAATCCAGTCTCGTTGCACCTTTAGTCCCGTTTAATTAAATCTTTACACATGATTTTTGTCTCTATAATCATTTAGTGTTCTACAATTTTTCAATTAAAAATTGCATTTAAGTCACTTGTACTATAGAACAATGTACGATACACGGAACTTAAGTAATCGATTATTAAAAGGTGTAAAGTTAGTGTAAGTACTCGCTTCGCTCGTGCGCTAACTTCACACGACTTAATAATCGGCTACTTAAGTCCTTTGTATCATAATTTACTATTTTGTATCGTAATTTACTATTTTGTATCATAATTTTAGTAAATTACATAATTAGTAAAATACAAAATAGTTTTTGTATCATAATTTACTATTTTGTATCGTAATTTTACTATTTTGTATCGTAATTAACAAATTTCGCTCGCCTGGTTACGATATTTTAAATGTCACAGCTATATCCATATTTATTATTATTCGACAGAATATAGAATGTGTTCTTCCTAACCCGTTGTCTGCGTTCGAGCTGATCATCACACCAGACCTGGAGTACCCGCTGCTGTGCATCGGGGCTACAAGGAAACCTCTGAGGCTTAACCTAATCAATATTAACTCTGGTAAGTTTCAATATTGTTACGTTTTTTTAAAACTTCACTAGTCCTTCATTCACTGTACTTGGCACTTGACAGGCGTGACATAATATAATAGCAAAGTTTGGTTACAGCCTATATACGGCACATGCGCCCTTTCATTTTTGAGGGGTTTAGTGAAAGGATGTGTTCACCCCGCTGCCCCAATGCGAGTTGGCAGACTTCACATGTCTCAGTAAGATATTTTTGCACGCCTCATAAGCAAAGCGTTGAAGTTGTGCTCTCTCAGCTAATGGAAATCTAGTAATTTTCTGAGCTAAAAATATCTTTATTTTTTTACTATTGCACTTTTAGAATAATAAAAATGCACATCTATCGAGAAAAATCACTTGTTTTCATGTTTCTATTATTTTTAAAAGTAATTTTCTGTATTTAGTGTTATTAAAACAAACTGATTGAAAAAAAAATTCGAGCGTGCCGGATCTCTGTATGTGTTTTAGGTGCACGATTACGGTCGTTAGAACTAATGTATCAAAATAGTTCTTTTTTATTAGGTTTAGAATCTCAACGCACAGGTTCGTTTTAAAAAGCACTGAGTAATTTGTTCTCGTTTAATTGTAATTAATGAAAATGTAAAAAAACAACTGGTATTTTTCTACAAAAAATATTCTCATGGATCTTTTCTTTCTACTCAAATATGGAAAAAAGATATTTTTCTTTTTATATAATCAAACGAGATTACAAGGCGTGCACTTTTGGATTCTCATTAGCTTAGCATTTATTTATGTATTTGATTCATTGTCAGAAATGATTTGCCGAATATAAGCCTCCACCATAAATTACTTAATGGAAGGATATTTGTCATAATTGCCATGTTGGCAGTTTTGGCAACTGTAGTTTATTATGTTCAGTTATCAGGAAGATACTGTTGCCAATCTCCTATTTCACGGCTAGTGGATTCAGTGAGCCACTACTAGACGGCTATATACTAGCACCATATTTTTTTTTATAAAATGTTTGTTTAATGCTACAACCCAAGCCTTTTAGTTATGAGATAATCCTATAAGAGGTATTGTCCAATATTGATGTGGAACTTAGAGGTATACAAGTGTATGCAGTATTTATAACAAAAAATATTTTTTATAGAATACGGGATGACAAACGAGCACACAGTCCACCTGATGGTACGTGGATGCTGTGGCCCATAGACATCTACATTTCTATCCACAATTAAGAATAAAAACTCAGATGCGTTGTCACCCCTGAGGACTAAAATGGAATGTCTCTTTTCAAGTAAAAAAAGGTCTCCGGTTTTAACTTCTGATAAAGTACTTTTTATATTACCGGATCACTACTGATGAGCTTAACGTATACTCTAACTAACGAATGCCTTTCTATTTACATTTCATAATCTTATAAAAACACTTAGTCAATACAAATAACTCGTTACTTACTTGTATTTAATAATACCGCAAGTCATGTAAATGCATAGATAAAAATCATTTAACAGGAAATGAATGGTTGGAAGCGTAAACAAATAGTAAGTAACATGCCAATAAGTATGAAAACTATGATTATGAAATCTAGCCTCCTACTGGGGCTTGAAATATGTATTTTAAACGTGGAAATTTACGGCCAAAGCATAACCTGTCATCAAGGACTAGAATGTAGCATGTTCAAGATAAAGAAAATAGAAAAAATAAGACACAACTTCTTCGACATACAACGACTTCAATATAAATAAAATGAAAACATCATCAATGTAGTCGAAGTCAATTATATACGCACTATTAAGGGTAACTCAAAAACTACTAATCAGATTTTGATAAAAATTTATTTGCTACCACATGAGAAGCACCAACTTTCGAATAAAAAGAATCATCAAAGTCAGTTAACCTAGAAAAATGTTTTGAGGTAACACACGTAAAAAATACAGTCGAATTGAGTACCTCCTCTTTTTTTGAAGTCGGTTGAAAATAAAAACTATTACAAAAGCAAGGAATGCCTTGAGCTTTGCACCAAAACTAAAGTGGAAATGGGCAGGTCGTTTAGCGAGACTTACAGACCAGAGATGGACCGTAAAAGCAACCCTGTGAAGTCGCCCACTAGGAAAAATAAGCAGAGAGAGGAACCTATGACACGATGGGAAGCCGAGATCAAAAGGATAGGGGCCCAAGCTTGGGCCGAATAGCACAATACAGAGAGACAAACGAGCATCTTAGGAAGGGGCCTTCGCCCAATCTAGGATACTTGCATAAGAAAAATAAAACCTAACAAAACTATTAATGGGTATGTTCCAAAATAGAACCCAGTGTACTGTCCAATGCGAATGACGTCATGAATCGACGCTATACTGGTGATTTGTTCCAAAACATAGGACAGTATATGACGTCATACATTTGCGACATATTGGAAAAGTATTGGCGATTATTTTGTGCTCCAAAAATCATTATATCCTCCTAATGGAGATATCAGCAATTATTCTATATTTTTTTGTATTTGAATAAATAAAAACAAATTCTGGCATGCTTCATTCAGCGCACACACAGTTAAAAATTGTTTTATTATGGCCGGATATCCGACACAATATGGCGGCGGCACGCCAGTACAATATAGTGTCAATTGATGACGTCATTTGTATTCGGCAGTATACCGAATACGTTTCGGAACATAGCCATAAAATCTAAGTTATCTAACCAAATAACATACATACTAGAAATAAGATAATAGTATTACAATTTGAGGAATTAAATGTTTTTTGTTAATTTATTTATTTATAGAAGACTAAACAATTAAATATATTATGAAACGCTTACATAATATATTTTGGTTGGAAGTCCACGTCCCCCTGGATTGTCTCAAATAATATATTATTTCCAGGTTCGACATGGTTCCACTCCGATGAGCTGGAAGTATGTGTAGGGGGCTCGAATACGGTCATCCCAAGGCCAGAGAGACTTCACACTCTGAAGGCTGTTCACCAACTTAACAAGGATGCGGTGAGTTGTTTAGTTGATAGTCAAGTTTAAACAACAATAATTCTTAAATTGATAAACTGTAAACTTAATGTTGTATTGTAGTAGCTAAACTCAAAATCTGTCGACCTAATAAAAAAATAAAAAGTGTAATTGGGGTTGTTTTTGTTGTAATTTACAATAATTTGCCGATTAACATATTTTTTTGACATTCATTTGAACTTAAAAAAAATTTTAAAGTTTTGTAATCAAATTTATTGGTACATAACAGATAATGTACGAGTGTGTAATCAAATTTATTGATACATAACAGATAATATTGATAGACAATATTGTTGCCCTCCGAATAAGCCAATTTTTATTTTAGTAAGACCAAAACTTTGAGAGATTTGTTTTTATTTGTATACACGTAGAGAAAAACAAAATAGCTGCCATGTAGAGGGGGACAGATTAGACCTCAGTATGTAGTGTATTTGTGAATTGAAGTAATTTTAATAGAAGTACCTAGAATATACTAGTCTGTCAACGGACATACTGTATGTGCGATTATTTCTGGCAAATAAATGTATTTTGTTACTTTTTTACAAAGTCGCATTAAAGTCTACTTTTCAGTCGTTTATAAATTATCATCATCATCACAGCCCCAACAAGTCCACTGCTGAACATAGGCCTCCCCCAAGGTATGCCACAAAGCACGGTCCTGAGCCACCTGCATCCATCGACTTCCTGCATGTCTTACCAGGTCGTCACTCCATCTAGCGGAGGGTCGCCCTACATTTCGCCTACCGGTACGAGGCTGCCACTCGAGAACCTTTTTCCCCCAACGGTTGTCGGTTCATCGAGCTATATGGCCGGCCCATTGCCACTTTAGCTTACTAATCCGTTGGGCTATGTCGGTCACTGTGGTTTAAAAATGATCCGTGATAATCCGTATGTGACACGAAATAACGCTCAGATTTCAGTAGACTTAATTTGACTCGAGTTGGTGTTAATTCTTTGCAGTTTGCGTTGACCTTTTCGGCTTAATGATGATTTCTGGGTTGAGATTAAGGTTAGAATGATGAGAAATATTGTTCCAGGTGCTAGTCTGCCACGAGAACATGGTGGACATAATCCCAGTGCTCCCGACCTTAGAGCGACGGAGGCCTGATGAGGAGAAGCGGAAGACTAAGCTAGTTTCGAGGATACAGTTCGATTTCCACATAGAGAGTATATGTAAGTTGAAAACTTATTAGAATATCAATTTTTGTTTTATATATTTGATGAGCTTTATTCATTCTTCAATGTAATTGATCGTTCGAATAATAATAAATATAGTTCTATTTTTTTAATATATTTTTAAACATTTTTCGTATAAAGTAATTAAATTATTAAGTAAACAATAACGAGTACATTGTTGTCGATTGTTGCTAACATTGCGAACGAAATCACTATAGATTAAAAACGTCACGTCTTGTAAAGTAACGTCACACATAATATTACTACGGCTTGCATAATGATTTCTTATATTTACGCGAACACTATACATGATTAAAACTACTTTTACACGTGATAAAATCCGTAAAAGTAGTTTTAATCATGTATAGTGTTCGCGTAAATATAAGAAATCATTATGTAAACCAGTACGGACTGGAAATAGCAAATAAAATACGCCGATTAGAAGATCTAAAGACCAAGCGCGCAAGATACATAACAGCTTTAAATTTCTTGAAGAGATGCAGAGATCATAATCTCATTCCTACGTGTGTCAAGATATCCACTAAAAAAGACATTCGAGGAAGCGCTAAGATCTTAAATCAGGCTAGTAAAAAGTTGTTAATAACGGTGATTCAGCAAAAACGTACCGATCTACTACGGCTTGTCATTTTTATAATAAATCAGAAGTGCGAGTGTTCTTACTCTCATATTTGGCATAGTGTAAAGAGACCAAAGATGACCAATTGACATTTCTATTTCCATGCATGGAGTACACGCAACATATTTCAATGAATTTGTCACTTTTTGCTTTATTTGAAAATTAATGGTATATTTTTTGTATATCTTTTTATGTATCTCCTGTATATCTAGGACACGTTTTAACGGTTATTTTACTATTTCTAAACACTTACAGTGTGTTTAGCGGACTCAGTGCTGGCCTTCCACCGGCATGGAGTACAGGGCCGGTCACTACGCAATGCGGACGTCACCCAGGAGATCACGGATCTCTCCAGAGCATATCGCCTACTGGGACACGATAAGTAAGTTATTCAGATGTGAATCTTTTATTTTTGGCTATCATTGTCAAAGTGTAACATTCCGGAATTGTCGTTACTGCAGTTTTTATTAGATTTTTTCTTGAAGAAACGGTGCATAAGGTTTTCTCATGTATCATGGATTCAGTTTACAAGCATAAATTGCTAAAGGACACACATCCAGACACGGAACAATTATTTGTAGGTCATACAAATACTTGATCCCTTTGGGACTCGAACCCGCGACCCTCAACGCTGCAATTCAGTGCTAAGCCACTGCGCCACGAAGCCGTCGAATTGTCAATTCGCCAAGTTTTTTTTAATAGAAATAGAGTGACAAACGAGCACACAGTCCACTTGATGGTAAGTTGTGACTGTGGCCCATAGACATCTACATAATGTATCTTCGATTAAGTATCAAAATGCAGATGCATGGTCAACCCTAAGATGGATGGTATTATGATTACGGTAATTTAAAAAAAATAAGAGTAATTTTCAACCACATAATCCCTCCTGGTGGTAAGTAGATACTACGATATATACGATACTATAGTGGCCCATCTACACCTACATTTATACTCGACTAAGAACCAAAGTACCACGCGCCTTGTGATGCACCACTCTTCAGGACTAAGATGTAACGTCTCGTTACCAGTAAAAATGGTCTTCGGTTCTCTATAGTCTGTTCGCTTAAATACGGTCGCCTTTGTGTCGCGCCGCCTTCGCACGTGCCGCATATCGTCAAAGGCGCCGACGTGACATTTAAGGTTTCCGTGTGTTGCGTACACCCGCTGGAGAATTTGGCATTTTAACCTCTCAACCCCATAGCGGTCTAATGAGACCGCGGCCATATTCCGTCAAATCCCTTGCGGTCTCATGAGGTCGCGCCCACCCACAGCACTTTAACCCAAAAAAATTAATTTATAGAGACTACTTTTCTATGAAGAAGTTTGGCATTATATAATCAATATGAAATACTCTAATTTCTAGTGCAATAAAAAAACGGTTATCCTATGAATATTTATTTATAATCTACGTTCATTTCATACGCTATTTTCGCGTGAATGTTATTGTGTTGATTTTTGGATTTTTCTAGTGTTTTACCAGTGTTTTAGTATAGTGTTTTATTATAAAATTGTAATGAAAGTTTTTGTGTGAATATAATTTATCCTTTTACGTAAATAATTTCGAGTAATATATATTGAAATAATTGTGATTTTCACGCTGCCGACATTCGCTTGGTATGTTTTTTTTTAATCAAAATACAATAAAATCTTTTTGTAATGAAGTCAAACCTGACTTTTGTTTAGACGACAAGATAGAGAATTTTGTATAGATTTTATAATGCTAAACTCCTTCATGGAAAAGTAGTCTCTAAATATAAGTTTTAATGGTTTTAAGTGCTGTGGGTGGGTGCGGTCGCATGCGACCGCTCGGGATTTGCCGGGCGCATGTGTCTGCATGGGATTTTTATGGTGCTTGAAGGGTTAAAACTTCTTTGCTACCTAACTTGTGTTCATTATTTATATTCGTATTTTATTACAATAACCATAAAAATAATATAGTAATCTATTTTATTATTGAAATATTAAAAACTTTTATTTAGCAAACAAAATAAAAATAATATAATAAGTGCGCCTCCGGGTGTACCGATACTATCTCAGTGAACAGATAATACACTCACCATACGAAACACAGCAACATAAGATTGCTATTTTACGTTCCCTGGTCATACCGACTTATTATTCCTGCAGGTTTTACGGATTTTATCGCGTTTAGTTTACTTAATTTTAATTTACTTCTATCTCTGTTTTCCTTTTCGATGCAGTTTTAAACCGATTTAAAACGAACTTGTCGTTGAGCTAAAGAACTGAAACTTGAAATATAACTTGAACCTGGATGACAATGTCATATCCTATACCTTTAAACGAGCAATTCTTGTATATATATAATCTGTATCTCGGAAACGGCTCCAACGATTTTTATAAAATTTAGTGTTCAGGGAGTTTCGGGGGCAATAAATTGATGTAGCTAGGATTTATTTTTAGAAAATGTCTTTTTGTCCGTGTTTTCAGGCAATGAAAAACTGCTACAATATAAGAAGGTAAATTTTACACTGTGATAATGAGCGTAATAGCTCAAGTGGATACGGAGCGGTCGCGAAATCATAATGCCTTGGTTCGCGTCCTGTCTTCGGTCCGATTTTTTCCCTTTTTTTTTTCAAGTTCCCTTCTTTTGTGAGAAAATCTATTATTTCGACCACTTTTTTTAGAATTTTTTAAAAATACAAAAATATTAATTAAACTAATTGCACTCATGATTTTTTATTTAAATAACCAGTGCAGTTTTGCTATTATGTCAATAAGATCAAAAAATATTATTCATCAGTATGTAATTTGTATCTAAATAAACCGAGCAAAGCTCGGTCATCCGGGTACTAAACTTATTATTTTGACTATAAGTTTGGGTGCATGTCTGCTTGATAGAAATTTTTCAATGTCTTTAGAACTAACTTGCCGAAGAGCTGGAAACTTGAAACTTGAATTTAGCTCAGAACTGGATGACAATGCAATACAAACTTACTTTCATGACTATTATTATGTTTATTTGCTTTTCAGTTCGATACAAATTTTGAAATCAATTTAAAAACTACCTTTCCAATAAGCTAGAACTTAAAACTTGAAATACAACAGCTCACAACTGTATACGTCTGTTGAAGTTTTGTAAACTGTTTTTTAAGAGTGGACTTTAAATAATAATACAAGACAGAAATATTGTTGTAATGAATTTTTTTATTATTATAATCTTGTAGATAATTTCATGGCATTTATTTTTTAAATATGATTTCCGGCATATGTCCGCCGCGGCTACGAGTTACATAGTCCATTCGAACATTCGAATTTTTCACTACTTTTTCCAATAAATCTGGCCATATGGCGTTAATGGTGGCTTGAATATTGGCTTCCAATGCTTCAGGAGTTGCTAGCCTTTTGCGGGTTTAAACCAATGACTTAAATAGCCCTATAAAAAGTAATCGAGTTACTTTAAGCCAAGTGACAGGACCACTTCTCGAAATGAAGTTGTCACCAAATTGACTTTGCAATAAATTGATTTTGTTGGTCTTGTTGGAACCAAATGTCGTCGATGTTTAGCTGATAAATTTTTCGATAGCGCTCGCCACTCACCGGAATGGCAACTCCTTCCTCATTTGGAAAAAAATAAGGGCAGGTTATGCCGCCAGCCCGTAAACCGCACCAAATAGTCATTTTTAATGGATGTAATGATGATTTGTTAATAGCATGAAGATTTTCTTCGCTCCATATAAGGCAATTTTGCTTATTCACGAAGCCATTTAACCAGAAATGAGCTTCATCACTAAACACAATTCTTTGATAAAAATGCTCATCTTCAGCCAGTTTCAAATTAGCTCAAAAAGTAAAAATGCCATTGTGACGGCCCAATATTATTATTAATAATTAAATTCAATATAAAGGGGCGTCAAAAATAGTCTTAAAAGATATATATTAAGCAATTAAGTTAAATTAATAAACATAAAGTTAATATATTTCAGACATTATCCCAATAACATAGTAAATTAAAGGCAAAATTATTGTTTTTCGTAATAAATAAATTTATTTAAAAACTTGAAAAAAATATTTAAAATAAGATAAATAATAGAAATACAAGTCAAAAAATATTATAAAATTAAGTTAAATAACGTTTATAAGATAATTAGAAAATTTGTTAAAAATTGTTTAAGTCATGGGAGGTGTTCGTGTATAAAAGAAAATTTTTCTAAGTTGTGGAAGGAGTTCACGTATAGATGAAATTTCCTAAGTTGTTGAAGGAGTTCATGTATTAAAGAAAATTTTCCTAAGTTATGGAAGGTGTTCACGTATAGATGTCTTGTATGGAGGAAGCTGTCGGAGGTACATACCTGCAGTTGTACATATATATGGGGTGGTCGGAAGCCCGACTGCCTGAAGTACTGTAGCACAATGACTAGTCCTATATTAGGGACTTATGATATTAAACTCAATGATACAAAAGCAATACTATAGAAGGTCTCCATGATGAATTTGTATTACAATAGTAGGGTCGTGGGTTCGAACCCTATATATTAATGACTTATGAAAGTAAGGTCTATGATACAAAAGCAATACTATAGAAGGTCTCTATGATTAATATGCATTACAATAGTAGGGTTGTGGGTTCGAACCCTATATATGAATGACTTATGAAAGTAAGGTCTATGATACAAAAGCATTATTATTGAAGGTCTCCTTGATGCATAAGCATTGTATGGGGTGGTCGGGTGACCGACTGCTCCTAGTACTGTAGCAAAATGACTAGTCCTTATTAGGGACTTGAAAAGGAATATTATGGTGGCGTGTGTGCTGCTTCACGAGCAATTGGTCCGAGGTAAACTTGGACTCGCTAACCGATGTGTCCTAGACATATCATCTTAGTGCCGGTGGTAAGCGGGTTTGTTGTAGCAATACGGCTTTCCCGTGGACATCGCACACCCATACCGGTTGTGGGCGGCGTCGTAGCGCATAGCGATGCGTCGTCTATCTTTCGGATTGGGAAGATGAGTGTGTTTGGTAGCACTTTTAAGTGTAACAGGCATACTCAACTACATGTCTTAGTGCATTAGCGCTATGATACGTGGAGTTTTGTTCATTGGCGTCTTAGTAGCGTGCTACTATGATACGTTGGTGATATTTTTTATATAACAACAATACCAACTTTGTTACCAAAGTCGATAAGAGTCATGTGGGTGTGTTGTGAGGGGGTGCCACCCGTATGATAGTTGCTTTGATGCTTACTGCTACTTGCGGTATTGCGTCTTGTGATGGATCTGCGGGTTTGATGCGCCTGATTCGACGCTCTCTTGTGGTTCTGGTCGATGGAGGTATGCGGGTGGTGATGTCTGCTGGGATGTATGAGAGACCTTGGGATGGTGTAAGCCCGATGATAGTCGTAATGATGCTTGTTGCGTTCTGCAGCATTGCGTCTCTGCGATGGTTGTTTGGTGGGACGCTATTCTCAATGGCGCTCTCTGCGTCTTGGTTTGACTCACACCTAAGTAGCTTTGCCCAAGTCGGGTCCCTTCATTACGGGGCTGCAGACTGTCTGCCCTCCACGATGTTTTATATAACAACATAATATTATATCTCTGTAACTTTCCCACCTTTGAATGATTGAAGGCAACTTGTCGGTGGGTGAGACAAACATGATCGAAAATGCATTTACTCAACGTCAGTGACACAAACCCTTTCTGATGGCGAATTATTACTCTTATCTTATAACTGCCTTTTGGCAATATCTGCCGTTGTATTGGTTGGTGGAGCATATGTGTCGACCTCATGCGGGTGGTAGCTGGCGGGAGGATCTGAGGAGAATCTCAAGGCTGCGGCCGAAAGCCGCACAACGTGGGACCCCATTCCCTTGAGGTGAGCGGTAGACTCATGACACGCTCTGCGGCTAGTAGCCGTGCTGATCATGCAACTGGTGGTGATGCCATACACTTACATCACGTCTGCAGGAGCGGCGGTCTGGCAGGTGGTGGCGCTCACGGAGGGTTTACGGCCAGTGTGCCTATTTGCCTAAACCGTGTGACGTACATTCACTCTGGCTGGATTCGTTCGTATTCTGTTTGGCGTTTACACGCATTGACATGCGCGACTTCGGTCGATGTTTGTGCTTACGCACTAGCAAGGGGTCAAGCCTCTTTTGCTGGTTCGCCAGTTATTTTGCTGTGGACTACGGTCCAGTTCCCGAATTAGCTTTCCCTTCGGGGGGGAGTGCATCAAAATGGTTGGCACTCACCGTGCACGGCGTGTGTGGGGCCGTGTACCTCCCCTACATTTTTTTAAAATAAATGTAGGAGAGCGAAGCCCTTGTATCGGGTATTATGTATAAATATATTGTGAGCCTTTTCCAAGCGGGAAGGGATAAATAATAATAAATTAATAATGTCAACCTGATACAAGTGGAATATAGACGTTTTACGTTCTTAACCTTTCTCGAGCCCTGTCTTCGTGAACGGGGTTCACTTAACTTATAAGGCACTACCAACAGCTTTCAATTGCTCTAGCGAATATTCATTCTTCCAAAAGACACCTAAAAGAACTAAGTTACTAAACAAACACAACGTAAATAAGGGTCCTAACTAAGACGATCATGCCAAATTATTACAAACGGCCTATTATTAAACCTTTAGAAAGATCAAAACATAATTTATTATTCCTGGTCACATATATATAATTTTTATCGAAAAGGGGTAAATTAATTATATCTAATATAATTATTATTATGAGAGAGGGGGGGAGACCGTTACACCATGTAAACGATGGTCATTTGACTTTAATTCTTGCACGAGCTGTATTTTATAGGCACGTAAGCCAAGATCCTTACGTAAAATTTTCCACGTAGTCGAAGGACAAAGATCAAAAAAAAATTTGAAACCGGCGACGAATAGACATTTCGGCGTCTTCTTCAACACTTCGCGCTATATTCTCTTCGATACGCACATACTTGTCTTGTTGATGGCTTTGAATCGAGAAGAGTAATATAGTGCGAAAACGATCAATAATTGCACGAATTGCTTGCTCACTAGGTCGATTATGTTGACCGTAAATGAACGAAGTGCTCTATGAACTTCGCGAACAGATTCATTTTTTTTTCAAAGTAAATTTACACAAATTGAAAGCGTCGTTCTGGCGTTAAACGATAGGTGTATTGGTGGATTGGATTGATGAATTGGCAAACCTTACTGAACAGAATTGAACGTAGACCGAGAAACCTATAGATAAATTGACGCCTTCTTTCCAAATAAATAAAAAACAAGCGTGTGATTGTTGTCCCTTTCTCCGTGCCGGTTTTTTAGCAAAGTGTAGTTTGCTAAACAACTTTGACAGTTTGTAGTGATCTAATGAGTTTACAGGTTGGTTTAAGTGAGAAAAAAGTGTTTTGTGAGTTTAAGATTGGTGAATCTTGTTCAGTTCAGTTCTTAGAACACTTAAAATTTTTATCTAAATATGTTTAAAAGTCATAAAGAATATTGTATAACCTAAAACTACGTTATCGTCCTTTCTCACTCGAGGCCACGCTAATCATTAGTCTATAGTTTTCTCTGTCTACGGAATTAAATGTCAACAAAGTTTGACATTCTCGACTGTCAAACCATAGACAACAATTATCGAATCGTCTCATGCAGCTAGAAAAACACCCAATACGTGGTAGAGCCACCCTGCAGCTATATTATATTATGGTCAGCCCGGCCATGGAAGGACCACGATCTCACAGAATACCAACGTAAAATAGCAGCTTAATGCTGCTGTATTTCGTATTATGGGGATAGACAACCGGAGACCCTAATGGATACGAGGCATTCTATCTTAGTCCTCACGGGTGACAACGCATCTGCATTTTGAGCTTTAATCGAGGTTAAATGTAGATGTCTATGGGCCACAGCATACACTTACCATCAGGTGGACTGTGTGCTCGTTTGTCAACCTTATTCTATAAGAAAATACTGAGCTACAATGCGATATAAACTCATTATTGACCACGCCTGCTACCATACAGTGCAAAGATGTATGGAGGGTAGAACATTAACTTTTCTGTAGCACTATTATTTTAACTCAAAATGTAATTTCTGTTTATCTCCTTTAAATATGAATTTGTAGCTGCTCTTTACTTAAACAACGTCATTGTAAGGTAGTAAGATCAATATTTTTCTTCACAAGATGTTATTTTTTACTTGTTGATAAATAAATAAATAAATTCCTAATTCCTAAATTCCTGTGTTTATGTATTTGTCTGTTCGATACAAGTTTTGCAATAGATTTTAAACTAATTTGCTATATTTAGCTAGAGACCTGAAACTTGAAATATATTTTAGAACTGAATGACAATGCAGTATAAACCCAATTCTTGTACATTTTTTTTAATTTTTTTTTAAAGTAACAGCTAGTTTAGTTAGAACCAAACTTAGAAATATTTAAACACAATCGGAACTGAAAACGTGGTATAAATAGTCGCCGTGTTGAGTTATAAGTTATAACCAATTGTAATTACATTTTTATTAATGCTTCTATTATTATTTTCCAGGGTAGTGGTATTAGAGTCGCACACATTGCACAATACTCTATCTAGCGACGACGGCAACGATTTGTACATCCTTGCCGGTCACGAGGCTTCATATTGAAATCTTTGTGACAAAATCTTGCAACGAGGTCTTGAGATTAATGAGGTCGTCACTTTAGACCGAAGCAAGCCTAGTACAGAGTTAGAAACCATGCACAAAATGTGCCACAAACATACAAACAAACAACATGAGATTATATATGTTAAAATTACCTGTAGAAAGAACTCTGAAGGTTTTGTAACTAAGTTACACATTAAACAGTGATTTGCTGACAATATACAAATTCCTAAGCTGTTAATAACTATTTTGTTTAAAGCCCAAATCATTTATATTGGACTGTTTTATTTGCTCAGTGTTTGCCAGTTTAAAAATAATGTATAAAAAATTGATTTGTGCTTTAAAATGTGTGAGTACTTGTTGTTTTAATTTTTTTATGTACAATTGTTCAAAGATTAAGGTTATTCATCCTATAGCATTATCTTCTGTGACTTTTAATTGCTTCAAAATGAGATTTTTAAGTAAATCTAAGGCCAGGTCTCATGCGCGTTTTTCCTCTGTACAAACTTTACAAAAACATCTCCCCAAACAGTTTCGCTGGATTTTGCCACACATTTTTGTTGATATAAACAATGTTTTTGCTAGCCGACATGTGCACAGTTTTTTTTATTTGAAATATGTGGCAAACCATAGTCTGCGAAACGGCATTTTGACCAACGAAAAAATTACAAAAATGTCTTTCATAAATTACCTGATTCTTTGTCATTATTTATATTTGCTGTGTATTATATAAAATATTTAACAATTTATTATCTAATTCTTTGAAATCTAAAAACTAAAAAGTTCGGAGAGCAAAATACGCTGGCGACTTGGCTTTATGTAGTCATAAGGAATGCTACGATAATAATATATCTTTACAGAAACTTTTCCTAAGTATTATGAATTGTAATGCAAAATAAAACATTTACATATCCATTAATTACGGCTTTAGGAATTAACTAAAGCAGTAATTAATGTGGTGTTAACCGATTCCTCACAGCACTGCCACTCAAACCTCCATTTGTGGAATAAACCTTGAAGCAATATTTAGTCGGTTTCAATTTTACTATTTCGTAATATTGTACTGAAAAATGTGATGTGGTGACATGTGACGCGTGACACGTGTTACATGATTCATAGCAATAATAAACATCTATGTAGGTTTAATTATTTTAAACATTCTGCTAATTGGAAAGATCGATAATGCACTGAAATATTATATTACTAATTTTAGTCAAAAATATATGAAAGCTGATAGGCCATATATTTTTAGGTAAATAATCAATTTAATGTGATTAAAGTAAGAATAGGAATGACTTTCCGTCATATTGTGACGTATTACCTGTCAGTATAAAGCTGTTAGGTAGGATTAGCAAAACAGATATTTTTGTAATTGTAATATTTATTTTCAATAGACTAGTAAATTTAATATCTTGAACGAAATAGTTTTATCACCATTTCTGTTTAATTCCTGGCAACTTGCAGATAATAGATATTTATATTGCAAACACTTAATTTAAAAATAAAAATAAAATATGAAAGCATAACAATTTTCTTTGCTAACCATACTTTTATTCTTACACTTTACAAGTGTCCGTGGACTGTTTACGATATCATTGATATTCCTATTCTTATCTTGATCGAATTGTACACTAATTGTTTGCTGCGGTGCTATTTCTATCTTAAAGTTTGATAATCTCGAAGAACCAACTATCTTTTGTTTTGTTTTTAATTTTACATAACATTTTTGAATAATCAAAATAATGAAAGCACAATAACACTCAAGTAATGCACAAATTAAGAAATGCAAAAGCAAAACTCCCGCCGAATATCCTAATGAGTTTTTTTTATTTCTCGTAATGGAGTCGTTACAATTCATTTTTGCCAGTGTCATGTATTTTAATTTATATTTAATTATAATTTGTTCAAAAACTTCTTCACACTATGTTAATTCGTCACATTGTGAAGTTTTTGGAAGATTTTGACGGTAGCTTGCCATAGGTAGTATCTCAAAGCGCCTAAGCACACCCAATAATTCCAATCACTATTGGCGCACTTGTTTCATCGTTCTCAGTAATACTTCACATGCGCAGACATGTAGTACACAAAATCACATCACTTTTTACACATATTACGTCAGCTTCCCACCAAAACTCCTTCAATGTTTTTTTAAATTACATTTTGTTCGTTCCTATTCCATATAAAAAGGCAAAGGCTTAAAGATCTTACAGCCATTTGAAAAATTAATGTGTTAACATAATGCACTTTTTAGTTAACAGTTCAATTACATGATCATTATATAAATTATTACATCTATGGTTATAATCTGGTAACAGTATTATATATATTTATTATATTAAGTCTTTACTTTGTAAATATTTATAGAATTGATTCCTACGGTACATACATAACAGTACATACCAATTACATCTTTAGTTCATTATCAGCATTATCGATCTTTAAAAAACTTGTTTTATAATTGAACTGCTAAAATAATAAAGATATAGGGTGCGCTTGGCAGAAAAAAGCGCTAGCAAGCGCTTGTAAGCAAAATGGCGATCGTAAGCGGTAAGCGCTGTCAAATCGTAAGTAGCTATTTTCCTCCAGGACACGATGTTAGTTTTAACCGGGGGAATCTAACCTAATTTAAATATATGTTTGTAAAGTATTCATATTAAAAACTTATCAATCATGAGTTTTTAATAGCATGTATATGTTTATTCATGTCATTATATTACTTGAAACTAATATTGCACAAAACAACTTATAAACTCTACTTCAAAACAAACAAATTAAATAAGCAAAATGGCGGATTGTGTCAGCGCTACTGAAGTAGCAATCGTGTCCTGGCCGAAAACTATTTTAGCGCTTATAAGCGCTTGCTAGCGCTTTTTTCTGCCAAACGCACCCATTATATTTTTAATAGTAAATTTGAGAGCTTGTTCGAAAGTTACATAATATTGAAAACATAGATAGCATTTATGCGTGCTTTAGCCATTTTCCAATTGCATATGAATTACCTTCTGTAGTATAATGTTAATTTATTTTAAGACTAAAATTGATAACTCTACTGATGACATAACTCTTCTATTTAATGTTTTTAGTTTAATTTTGCATACAACGGTACTGTGATCTTGATCTATTATTAGAATGTTTAGTCTAAAGATCTTGATTTCAAATGCTGTTTGCATTTTTTATTTAGTTAAAAATAAAATTTATTTATTCGTATAGTTCTTATATAAACAACCAAATAATTGTGATTAATGATAATCGTTTGATTAAAGCCAAGCGTTAATGGGTAATTAACATTAAAATATATTATGAAAAAAAGACAATTTTTCTCGATATGTTATTAATTATGATACGTGATAGTTATGAAATAGAAATTTTTAAATAATGAAACTGGCTTATGTATTTTTTTTTTGTAAATATTACAAATATTCCAAGTAGTTTTAGTCAATTGTATAATATCACTAGTGTAGAGATGTATGTAATTCTAATGTATTTAATTTTTTTTATTGGTAACCGTTTTTTGAGAGTTGGCGCGAAAACTCGCTTAGGGACGATTAAATTAATTTTACGCTTTCTAACTCTAGATCTTTCTTTCTACGTCTCGACAATTTAAAATGCAGTAGTAACCAGTGCATAAAAATTTACCACTATTCCAGTCGCCACAAATAGCTAATGTAGCCACCACCCTGTCGAAGACGAATGTTTGAAAGAATTTCTGACTTTATTGTAAACTATATTACAAAGACAATAACATAGTTCATTAACTTGCCGATCAATACCATGTTAAATATGCATGTAGTGGTATAAAATATGCGACCGTAAAGTTTATACATCGGGGCTTTTAAAGAAATTTTGTCTTGATTTTGTAGCACGTTGTCCTTATTAATCCCGTTTGACTGCCACGTTTTCTCACTGACGTCTCGGTTATACAATTTTTTAAAAGTTTAGTTGTTAGCATCCTTTTAAAGTAAAGGTGTGTTTTTATTCAATATAACAGATAATATACGATATTAGTTCATAAAAAATATCTACGGGATTGTTTGTACTTCGTGCTACAGAAATGACCCTCTACAAAGACAGAGTCGAATATGTCTTTCTATAGCACTATGTATAATATTTGCGGCTGGATGCTGTACTAGAAATTGTTTTTTTGAACGCCATAAATCATGACAAGGCTACCTTCATTGTTTTTTATAAATTACCGGTAAAATAAGTACCTAACAACTCTTTTTGTTTGAAATACATGAATGATTACGTCAAAAGATCGCCAAAAGTATTTAAATTTTAAAATCGATACCTTTATTGTATTTACTTATATTACTGGAATTGAAAATTCAAAATCTGTCTTCAGAAATGTGTGCTACGATGTCAAAGCGACATTAAGAAAAGAAAAGATTATTTGTCTAAAATTTGCTGATGTAGCTTTTTAACCTTTTTCCCCAGTTATTGCGTTTGTAAAAAATGGACTGTATTGCTTTGAGTAATCCTTTTTATTTATATCATCCCTAATAAACATTTATTTTCTAGTTTCGTTTTTTTATTTATACCTTTTTGTTATAATTTTTCGGTACGTTATATAATTTTGTAAGGAACTATTAATTAATGGACGGAAATATTTATACGTTTCTTCACAAGAAGGTGGAACCATTTGACGTAAAACCAAATAAAATAAACTTATTAGCTCGCAAATTACTATACTACAGTCGGTCATCAAGGCGTCTAGACGGATAACCGTGCGGTAGGTGCGGCGAGAAGCGGCCGGGACGGAGCTAGGGTTGTCCTGTCACGCAAATAAATTAAAACACTTCATCCTACATGTGCGGTGAAAACTGTGGGTTGTACTTATTTAAAGATAAGGATATAAAGTTTCATCAGATACCACATACACAGGAATTTGTTTAAACGTGAAATAAATTGAAATCAATTTTTTATTTCTTCCCGTTCTGGCAACCCTAGCAATTTATTGTTTATGTCGGCTTTTCGAACAATATCAAACGCGATGACTGACTGTA